TTGACCATTTTACAAAACCCTTCAAGATGACCAGAGAAATCTGATGAGTGTTAGATATTCCCAAGTCTGGAAGGGACCTTAAAGGTCATGGAATCCAACCCCTACCTGAGGTTTGGATGGTCTGTGTATCAGCCCTGCCAAATAATCACCAGCCTCTGCCTGCGCACTTCTGAAGACAGGGGCCTTACTACCCATCCTGGCTGCTGGGACTTTAGAATCCCTCTACTACTGAATCAACGCTGTCTTGCTTTAATTAATCCTGGATCCAGAAAACATACCTGTTTTCTCTGCCCTAAAGAAGCCCTTCCTCTGAAAACAGCTGATCATCTCCCTGGAGGCCTCTCAAGCTGTAGAGCCGAGCCCCAAGCTCTCTGGCTGCTCCTCCTGGGATCCAGGTTTTCAAGCTCCTAAGCAAGCCTCCATGCACAGCCGCATGTGGCTGCCTTCATTCACATATTGCTTGGTTTCCTCTTGCTCCTTGTGGGGCCACTGCTTTCCCGAAGGCAAAGGACTGATGCAGCCTGGAGCCTGGTGGCCAGAGACCATTCCCATTCTGCTGGCTTGTTCCTCGCAGCATAGGAACATGTGGATTGCTACGGGCTTCCCAATAGTAAAATGGCTTCTTCGAAAGGTTCGTTTCTGCTTACCTCCTCAACTCCAAATCAAATCGCTGGTGTCTGCCTGTCTCCTTTACCTGTCTGCACCAAGAGGTGGCGCTGAGGAGTACTTGCTTTCTTGGTACTCTCCCCTCCCTAGGCTTCCATAGCTGCACCGTCCTGTTTCCTCTTTCTTTGATCATTTCTTCTCATTGCCTTTTCCTCTGCCTTTTTTTGTAAAGACAGGGATGTCACTCTGTCACCCAGGCTGGAATGCAGTGGCGCGATCACGGCTCGCGGCAGCCTCGGGTGATCCTCCCACCTCAGCTTCCCGAGGAGCTGGGACTATGGGCACCCACTACCATACCCAGCTAATTTTTGTTTTTTGTAGAGGTGAAGTTTCACCATGTCGCCCAAGCTGGTCTCGAATTCCTGGTTCAAATGAGCCCCCCACCTCGGCCTCCCAAAGTGCTGGGATTGCAAGTGTGAACCACCATGGCCTGCCTGACCCCCTTTCAATATTGCCATTCCCTAGGGCTCCACCCTCTGCCATCTGCTCACAGCATTCTATGTCGGTGGTTCCTAACTTGGAGAGGATATTTTCTCCCCTTTGAGAATGTGATGATGACTGTATTCCCTCTCTATAGAATGGGGAAAAAAACAACCAAACGTACAATATTTTACATACAATTCCAGGTTCTTAACACAAAGTCTATTTTTCCTGGCTGATTTTAGTCTTGCCCCTTGCTTCTTCCCAATCTCTCCCAGATCATAGCTCTCTTGACCCTCAGATGAGCAGATCAATAATCAATGCCAAGTCCCCGCTGTTCTACTACCGAGCTCCGTAGCAGCAGCGTCTGTGTTGTTTATTACGGAGCTTCATCACTGAGCAGAGGGCCTGGCTGGGAACGGAAGGTTGGCCACATGTGTTGAGGGAATGTTCACCTCTTGCTGCCATCCCTCCTTCATCCTCTGACTCACCTCAGGCCTCACCTGGCTCACTAGTCCCCTCCAGGTCAGCTTCCGCCTGGTAGCAGAGGCACCCTTCTGAAACACAGATCCCTGTCTCCCCAGCTCGGAGTCCTTGGGGCTCCCTGTGACTTCTAAGATAAATGGCTTCTCTAAAATGGGTCCCTGCTGACTGCTCTTGCTTCACTGCTCAGCTCTCTCCAACACCCCTCGGCTGCAGCCACCTGGAACTCCCAACCAAGGGTGCAGAGATGCTGCCCCTGCTTCCCACACTCCTGGCCTGAAATGCCTGCCCCTCTCTTGGCTTTGCTAATCCACATTCATCCTTCAAAACTCACTCAGCAATCACTAACCCTTGGGAAGCATTTCCTGCCTCACGCCTCTCAGTTACCCATTTTAACATTCCTCCACTGTGGATCCACGGTTTCCAAAGCACACCCCCAACATAGCACTGGTCACACTGAATTGCATGTGGGAAGTCACTTGTCTGTTCCCTGCCAGAGGGCAGAGCCTGTCTTATTTGCTTTGCCTAACAGAGCCCACAGTAGGTGCCTAATAATTATTTGCTTCATGAAGGAAAGGATGAATTTATCGGTAAGTGTTCTTCAGAGAAACAGAATCAAAAGAATATCTATGTCTGCACACCTAGATCTGCAAACTATCTACAGTCTATATCTAAATATATATATAGGAGAGACATGGGGAGAGAGAGATTTATTTTAAGGAATTGACCCAAGCAGTTGCCAGGGCTAGCAAGTCTGAAATCTGCAGGGCAGGTCAACAGGATGGAAATTCCAGCAAGAGTTGATGCTGAAGTCCTGAATTCAAAGGCAGTCAGGAGGTAGAATTCCTTTTTCTTCAGGGGACCTGTTTTTCTCTTAAGATCTTCAACTGACTAGATGACTCCCACATTTTGGAGAGTAATCTGCTTTACTCAAAGTCCACTGGCTTAAATGTTAAGCTCATGTGAAAAATACGTTCACTGCAGCATCTAGACCGGTGTTTGACCAAACAACTGGGCACTGTATCCTAGCCACCTCAACACGTAAGATTAACTATCACAATGAGTAACCTTCTCTGTGAGCCTCAGCTTCCCCATTTGTAAAATGAAGAGCTAGAATATTCAAAGATTCCACTAAGGAATCATTAGAATTAGATCACATCTGGATTACACTTTATAATTTAACACTTTCACTACATCGTATCATTTAATTCCTTTAACAATTCATCAAGCAAATTTATTATTGTCTATTTTATTTATTTATTTATTTATATTTTGAGACTGAGTCTTGCTCTGTCACCTAGGCTGGAGTGCAGTGGTGCAATCTCAGCTCACTGCAAACTCCGCCTCCCAGGCTCAAGCGATTCTCCTGCCTCAGCCTCCCTAGTAGCTAGGATGACAGGTGCCAGCCACCATGCCCAGCTAATTTTTGTATTTTTAGTAGAGACGGGGTTTCACCATGCTGGCCAGGCTCGTCTCAAACTCCTGACCTCAAGTGATTCAACCTCAAGTGCTGGAATTTCAGGCGTGAGCCACCACATCCGGCCTACTTATTTTTTAAGAGACAGGGTCCCTCCGTTGCCCAGGGTGGAGTGCAGTGGCACCTTCTTAGCTCACTGCAGCCTCAGAAACTCCTGGCTCAAGCAATTCTCTCGCCTCAGCCTTCTAACTGAGACTAAAGAAGTGTGCCACCACACCTGGCTAATGTGTGTGTGTGTGTATGTAAACAGGGTCTCACTAGGTTGGCCAGACTGGCCTCAAACTCCTGGCCTCAAGTGACCCTCTTGCCTTGACCTCCCCAAGTGCTGGGATTATAGGTATGAGCCACCATGCCTGGCCTGTCTTCTTTTTCATAGATGAGGAAACCAAGACCCAGTGAGGGGAAGGGATTTGTTGGTAAGTGGCAGAATTTTCCAATTCCAGTTTCAGGCTGAACCTTCTGGGCCCAAACAACCATCTTTGAGAGCTGAGGCCAAGGGGGAGTTGCTGGGAGCAGGAAGCCAAAGCAGGGAAAGAGGGGACCTCTACTACAGAAACTCAAAGGAAAACCACAACACCAGGATCTTCAAGTGGGCCTGGTCAGGCCAACCTAGGAATTCCAGGATGTAATTTCTCTTCTCCAATTGAGAGAATACAAGTATGGCCAGGGCTCGCACCTAATGTATTAGACTCCTAACTTGGGGTTTATGACAACTCATTAAAAATATAGCAAAAGATACATTTTAAAGGTGGTCAGAAAAGCTGGGCCATTGTTCTTTACTCATCGGGAGTAATATGGCACTGTTGCCAGAATATTCTCTGACAAATTTATTCCAAAGCTACATCTTCATGGCACTCCCAAACCAAAGCTGCAAGACTTTCAGTGGAGAGATTAGAAACAGAGCAAGGCCTTCTAGTAAGACATTCTATTTATTTTGACTTGGTATTACCTCTGTCTATTACAGGACCCCAGAGGAGCAAAGCAAAGTTTAACATTAAAACTCAGTGTTAACAGAGTAGGCAGTAGGGAGAATCTCAAACCAGAAAAACATCTGCAAATCAACTCTGCAAAACCTGTCAAGAAGCCAAATGTCCCAAGCACTCCATGATTGGAAAAGCCAATGGCTGGCTCTTTAACTCTCCCCAGGCTTTCCCATCTTCCTGTATTTTCCTTCTGCCTGGAGGATTTGTGGGAGAATTCATTTCCTTTTTTTTTTTTTTTTCAGGATCTAGAGGCCACTGCATTCTCTGACTACTTCAGACTTTCTGGCTCCTGGAGGTCATCCAGAGGTGTACGTGAGGTTACCAAGGCTGCAATGGCCAGGCTTGGACTTGGAGGCCTAACATTCCCGTCTTTTTATATATGTATAAAAGAAAAAAAAGTGGCTAGGCACAGTGGCTCAAGCCTGTAATCCCAGCACTTTGGGAAGCCGAGGAGGGTGAATCACAAGGTCAAAAGATCGAGACCATCCTGATCAACATGGTGAAACCCCGTCTCTACTAAAAATACAAAAATTAGCTGGGCATGGTGGTGCATGCCTGTAGTCCCAGCTACTCAGGAGGCTGAGGCAGGAGAACTGCTTGAACCCAGGAGGCGGAGGTTGCGGTGAGCTGAGATCACACCATTGCATTCCAGCCTGGGTTACAAGAGCGAAACTCCGTCTCAAAAAAAAAAAGAAAATTCTGTGATTCTTGTTGTCTAGTGTTCGGTTAAGTCCTTGGAAGCATAATAGCTTTAAGATGGCAGATGATGAAGGCTTGGGCCAAGATCAGAATAGTGTCCAGCGTAGGGGTTGGTCCCAGAAGACATGGACAGAAAGGAGTATGTGCAGGTTCTGGAGAGGAGACACGCTGCCATCTCGACATTAGCCAGGCATTGCTTGGAGCTCATGAGTGATGGATTGGTGTTTCTGGTTGTTCCTGGAAGGGTGAAGGCTGTGAGACAGGGCTGGGGAAAAGACAGGCAAATAAACAGGGAGGGTTGGCAAGATGTCTTGTCTTAGCCCCCCCAGCAGAGGTGGAGGCCCTACCAGGGCCCTGGTATGGCAGAACCCACAGCTGTCACACAAGCCACATGCAGGCCACACTGAGACATCTTTATTTTTCTGGGTCACACAGAGCTTGGGTCTCGGAGCCTCTTCTGCATGGGTGCTGCAGCTGCCAAGGGAGAGGCTGAGACCAGAACAAGCACTCAGGTGGGCCTCAGTGCAGGTCACAATGTGCCCCGCAGTGAAAAGGTGTGAGAACCCCCATGCCCACTCTGCCTGGCCCTGAGGCAGACAGTGGCAGGCTGAGCCCACCTCCCCTTTATGAGACCATCCTAGCATTTGGCAGAAAGTCCCAGATGAAGGTGGGGGACAGGCAGCCAGGGTCCACCTGGCCTCTCCTCAGCAGGGGGACCCCTGCAGGCAGCTGCAAAGGTAGTGGCCAAAGGTCAAGAAGATGAACTCTGCCCAGACTCCTGCTGCCTGTGGCTATGGTGGGACAGGGCTGCCTTCCTGGTCACACTGGGCAGCAGGCGGCTGCCAGCAACCTCCCAGTCCCAGGGATGCCTTCCCTGCCTGGCAGCCCCTCTGCTGCAGCTTCCGGATGAGCTCCAGCAGGTTCATCTGCAGCATCAACTCTTGGGATACAGAAGGGCCCCATTAGCATCAGAGCGACCCAGGCCCTGTTCATCCCAGCCTAGAGGTGCCAGGCAGTGAGCCCATGGGGCGACCACCCTGTGAAGCCAGTCATGGCCTGCCAGGAAGGGGTGGAATCTGAGCCTCTGCCCCCAGCAGCGCCGCTCAGAATGGCATATGGGAGGAGAGCAAGAGGGCCCTGCGGGCCTGGGGAGGGTGGGCAGTGCCCCATGGCTAGCTGGCTGGCTCACCCTCCTGTAGGGAGTGGGCCCGGCATCTGTGCTGGGAACAGCACGAAAACCCTTTCCAGAGCCTCAGTCTTTCCACTTCACCCCCTATACCCTTAGCTTGGATTCCCAGGGACCAGCGCTGAAACCCCAGATGGAATGGGGTCTTCGGAGCTCAGGGGTACTCGGGCCAGGGCAGAGCAGGCCCAGGCACTGACCTGCGGGTTGGTGGTCACATAGAAGCCCGCCACCCCCGCCTTCTCCAGTGTGCTCTGCTGGTCAGCCACCTTCCGGTCCAGCTCTAGGATGATCTTCCAGTCCATTGCCCACTGCTCCTCACGGATCTGGTGCTCCACGCCTGCCGTGGGTGAGGGAGGGTGAGGGCGGCTCAAACACAAATGCCTGCTGCTGTCCCCAGCAGCACTAGCTCTGACACCACCGATGCATCCTCACCACTCCCAGGCCTCTCCTCGGCCAGCCAAACTCTGAAGTGAAGCTCCAAGGGGCTTCCACAAATGCCCCAGTCTGGGGCTGCCTTGGGACTGCACACGCGTCTCTGCCGGCACCCACTGTCCCATGGCTTCTTGGTTAAATGCCAGTCTCCAGCTGTCCCTGTGCTCCCTAGGAGAAGGATGGGCCCCTTCCTGGCTGGCTCCATCACCATTGCCCTTGTACCCCCCCGAGGCCACCTGCTCTGCTGAGGCCCCAACCCACAAGGAGCTGCTATGCAGGGGAGCATTGGTGAGACTTCACCCTCCACCCAGCCCCAGTACACCTGGCACCCACAGGGAGGAGTGACCTGGTGGGACTCACTAGGCCTCCAGTGGCCCATTCAGGTCCAGGGTAGCCACCCATGCCTGAGCTCCCCTGCACCCCTTAGCTCAGCCCAGTCAGCAGAGCCAGGTAGTACCCACAGTAGAGCCGGGGTGGCCACCCTGCCTGTGCCCCCAGTACCTCTAGTTCTTGCTGATGAGCCACCTGGAGCACAGGCAGGTCGTGGGGCCAGCAGGCCTGCTGGACTTCCTGGTGCTTCTGCCGCAGTGCCTCCCTGAGCACTGGAAGGATGAGAGCCCATCAGCAGGCGGTGGGACTTGGCAGCAGCCCTCACCCACGGGCACCTGCCCTGACCCTAGCAGAGCAGCCAAGCCAAAGGGGTGTCTGCACTTCAGAGGACGCCAAGCTCCTCCATCCTCCCAGGCCCACTGTCACCCAGGGACTCCAGAAGGTGCCGGACACTCGGTGGGGTGGGGAAGGCTGGGTGGGGCCAGAGCTGCAGCCCCAGACGCAGGGCAGCTGGAGGAGGCGGGAGGGAGGCAGGCTGCAGTCAGAGGGCTTCAGGCCTCACATGGCCACAGGCCAGCAGTGCTGTGTGTGCTCTGCCCCCTCGTCCATGGGACATGTAGTCAAGTGCCGGAGACCACCTCAGGCAAAGGCATGGGAAAGTATCCAAGAGGTAAACAGACAGGGCACTGAAGAACTGGTGAAGAACATCTGGACTGGGCCTGAGTGTGGGCCTCTGCATACCAGGGGTGCGGTTGGCCCCTTCACCCTTGGTGCTGCCCTTCAGGGTGAACAGCTGCCTCCTCCATTTGCAGCTCCCAGCCCCCCACAGCGCCTGAGGGAGAAGGGTGGGCACAGACCTGGGAGGCGCAAGTTTGGGATGAGCCTGGGATGCCATGAGGCCAAGGAGTCTGTGTGGCTCTGAGGCGCTCACCCTGGGCCACCAAGCAAAGCTCCACGGTCCCTGCTGAACTGTACATAAACACAGATGAGCGCAAACTGTCTAGTCTGAAGGGAATGTACAGAGGAAGCGATCATGGGACAGAACGAAACCACCATAGCGAAAGGGAACACGCAGCACCCCGCAGCTAGCACCAGTGACCAATAAGTGCCAAATGGCTACAGCTCCCCAGGGAGGAGAGGTCCCTGGCCACAAGAACACGAAAAACCCAACACTGTTCCTGGGAAGAGCCCTGATGCTTGCTGCAGCTCTTCTCAGGAGGCCCCTGAGGCTGCCCTGCAGGTAGCCTAGCTCCTGCTGTGCCTACAGCCTTCCCCAATCTCGTTTCTTGGCATTCTGTTCACACCTCCACGATGGCATTATCACATGAAATATGTTTCCAGCCGGGCGTGGTGGCTCACGCCTGTAATCCAAGCACTTTGGAGGCCAAGGCGGGCGGATCACCTGAGGTCGAGAGTTCAAGACCAGCCTGACCAACATGGGGAAACCCCATCTTGAAAAAAAAGAAAGAAAGAAATATGTTTCCAACCAAGACCCCCCCTCGAGACATCTCCTAAACACAGGGAAGCAGCAAAATGTCATCTCCTTCACTCTACTGACTGCTACAAGTGCCAGGTCCACTGCCAGATTCCACTAGGTAGGCAACCAAAAGGCAAGAAGAGAGCCACGCTGGCTGCCTGGGCTTAGACATGACCTCAAACATGACCAGGGAACACAAAGGAGGAGGAGCAACCAGTCAGCCCTGCTGAATCAGCAGGAGAAGCAGAAAGTCAATGCAGACACGCCTGCTGCTGGTGGAACCAGGGCCTGGCCCACGCCTTCTGAAGCACAAACGGCACTGGACCCAGAGAGTTACTGAAACTCCTCATCCTGCTAGAAGGAACCAGAACTCTGTGGAAAAATGACCGATTCTAGTACTGAGACAGAGAAAACAAGAAAAGATGAGCCAAACACGGTCCTGAACCAGAAAGCAGGGAAGGGCTCAAGGAATGATGGGAAGCACCTAAGGGAGCCTGGAGCGCCCCCACTGGCCACATACGGCACAGTCTGAGCATTAACAAATAATGGGCCATGTACTTCAGATTAGTAAATTGTATGCATTTTACAGCTCAATGAAAATTTTGAAAAACGCAATCACCCAGACATTTAGGGTAACACCAATTCTGCACAAATTCTTCTGGAGAACTCAAGAGGAGAGAACACTTCCAAACTCCTCATGTAAGACTGGCAAAAACCCTGACACCTAAACCAGACAGTATTCCATAAAAACTACAGACCAAAGTTTGTCATGAATATAGACAAAAAAATTCTTAACAAGATTCTAGCAGATCAAATCTGGTCACATAAAAAGGATAGTACAGCATGACCAAGCAGGATGGAATTCAAGTGACTGTAATTCACGTAGTAACAAAAGGATTCACCATGTGATCATCTCAAGAGCTGCCAAAAATGGGTCTGCCAAAATCCAACATCCATTCTTGATAGAAACACACCGATTCTGGAGCAGATGGACATGCCTGCCGTCTGGAAGGGCACCGCCAGGAGGAGTTTTTGCCACATTAAACCTGCCTTAAATCAGGCTTTTACCAGCAGTCCAGTTTACAGGAAACCCAGAGAGTGGAGAAGCAGGTTAAATGCATGAAGAAGCAATCTGACAGATCCAGAGCAGGGCATTCTAGAAGTAAAATGCCCTGGACTCTACAGACAGGCAATGCCACAATAAATGTGGGGACTGTTCCAGAAGCAGAGAGACCCAAGCAACCAACTGCAGCATGAACTTGGACTGGATCCTTACATAGAAAGCAACATTCTGCGACAAGTTAGGTACCAAGATGTGGCCGCGCACACATCTGGAGACACCCAGACGGTTAATTTCTCAGAGGGCTACCCTCTGCAGGTGTGTAGGAGACTGCTCTTGTTTTAGAGAACTTGCTCCCAATCCAAGGCCAAGGTTAACCCCCCAGGTTGTCTGGAGGCATTCTTGGTTTTCAGGACTAGGGAGGGTACCCCTGCCATCCTGCAATGCACAAGACAGCATCTGACCATAAAGACTTACCCAGCCACAAATATCAACATTTCTGGGTTAAAAATCCTGGTCTCCAGGCAAGCTGAAGACTCTTGGTGAACTGCTACGCTGTCACGTGTATTTAGGGATATCAAGAACTATGGCAAAACGTTAACTATTGAACTTCTGGTGGAGAGCACAAGTGTATGCACTACACTATCTTTTCAGCTTTTCTAAATGTTTGAACTTTTAAAATAAGAAGTTTGGGGAAAATATAACAGCAAATGTGGAAATGTGATAGTGCAGGGGGACCCGCCCTGTGTAATTTGCAGGAAAGGGCTCCTAAGCCCACCAAGCATGCGGCTCAAGTGGGAAATTCTTCGGGTTTGGGAGGGTGTCACAGGGGACAGTGCTTAGGAATTTGATGTGCAACTGGTATGAGGCCCTACGAGACGTGAGAGAGAATGGACCCCAAAGAGCGCTGCACAGCTGTCAACACACCTTCATCTACTAAGGGGCAACACAGTCAGGGCCAGGCCAACCAAGCACAGAGGCCTAGGGTCACCCTGCTTGGAAGGGGGTGGGGCACAGGACAGCCCGAGCAGGCAGTTTCTGCTAAGAAGAGGGCCTGCGCAACTGAAAACAAAACTGTTTGGACCCACCGGTCACCAAAAAGGCGCTCAGTCTCCGCGCCCTTGATTCTGTCAATCTAAGGGACCTCTCCCGAACACCCCCAGGGAAGGAGCCGCTCTGCATAGATACCAAGAGCGGCCGGGACCTGCCGACCCCGAGGAGGAGGCGCCTCGTCCCGCCGCACCCGCCCACCTCGGTGCTCGCTCTGTAAACGTAGGCGCTGGTTGTACAGGCTCTTTTCGATGAGGTGCTGGATCTCCAGTACCCCCGGCACGATTTTGAACACGGTGCCGTCGAGAAGCGCCAGGGCCAGGTCGCTGAGCCTGGTGTAGGACAGGAGCTGCTGGAAGGAGCTGCGGGCAGGAGGTGCACAGTGAGCGCCTGCGGGGCTCGGGGCCGGCTTCGCAGGCCGCCGCCCGCCCCGCCCGCGTACTTGGGCAACTCCTTCACCAGGCTCTGCAGCGCGGACAGCAGCTGGTAGTGTCGCTCTTGCTGCCGCGTATCGTCCGCCACCTCCTCCAAGAAGCCCGCGTAGCGGTCCATGACCCGGTCGCCCGCTAACCGCCTACTTCAGCGACGCACGCCCCCAGCTTCATCCCAAGCGCGGCACGCCCCGCGCCTTTTACGACAGTTCCGCCCGCCAGCCCCGCCAGCCCCGCCAGCCCCGCCAGCCCCGCCAGCCCCGCCAGCCCCGCCAGCCCCGCCAGCCCCGCCAGCCCCGCCAGCCCCGCCAGCCCCGCCAGCCCCGCCAGCCCCGCCAGCCCCGCCAGCCCCGCCAGCCCCGCCAGCCCCGCCAGCCCCGCCAGCCCCGCCAGCCCCGCCAGCCCCGCCAGCCCCGCCAGCCCCGCCAGCCCCGCCAGCCCCGCCAGCCCCGCCAGCCCCGCCAGCCCCGCCAGCCCCACCGCGCGCCCAGCCCCTCCGCGGAGGCTCTAAGGAGGGTTGCCCTCTGTCCGGGCTTTCACCTGTGGGCTCCCTGCGCGACCTTACACGCGACTCTCCGTCGCCTGGATATCGCAGGACTTCAGAGAATCCCACAGGTCCTTGCTGAGTCCCTGCGGGCTGAGGTCCGGGCTCCGCGCCGGTGCGTCGGAGGCCAGAGCCCACAGGACCTGGGTCTAAGACACCGTCCGGGGGGAGCAGTGGCGCCCCCGGGGATGAGACTGACAGGACCACCCTAGAGCCTCTGGGCCGGGACAGTCGGAGCCGGAGTCCCATCTGGGCCTGCCGTGGTCGCCCGGGGCTGCCAGGCCTCCAGTCCGAACTCTGAGCCCAGACTGCGCTCTCCCGGCTACTCGGACCAGCTGCTGGGCCGGGGCTGGTGGGGGTTCTGGTGTCTAGGGCTGAACCGGCAACCGGCACCGAACAGGCTTTAACAGGAGGGGTTCGGGTGGAGGAATGGCTCCAGCAAAGGCCCTACCAGAGCCGGGTCAGGTGGATGGGCATGAGGACCAGTGGCCAGGCTGCGGAAGCCAGCCAGCGCGGGAGAGAAGGGCAGGGGGTGCACATTGCAGAGGCTGCTGGGGGCGTGTCCAGAGAGCACCAGGGGACACGAAAGTGCTTGGGGACACAGACACGATCAGACTTGCATTTCACCAGGCACTCTTTAGCTGCCCGTGGGGTGTCTGGGCTCTGTGAGATGACCCTGCTCTGACCGGGTCAGAAATCATGACTGGTTTCCAGAGAGAACGTTGGTTAGTGATTGGCTATGGGGAGGAGGGTGCGTTGAGCTAACTGGGGTCCCCCTGAAGTGCCCCCGTGGTCTCTGGTTTCCCCAGGATCTGTTTCCTCAGTCCCAGGCAGGATTGGCTCCCCTACAACCTTTGTCTTTGTGATCCCTTCCAGCCAGAAACCAGAAGTGAATAAAGTGACAACAAGCAGCCAGGCCACTGCTGTGGAGGGTGGGCCACAACCCAGAGCTGGTCATGTGCCAGGCACCCTGCCCTCTAGGCCACCCAGCTCCTCTAGGCAGGAGCTGGAGGTGGGACTTGAGCTTGTGGGAGCTGAGCCTGCAGCGAGTGGCAAAGAGCCAACTGGGGCTGTGCCTGGTCACTGTCCCCTCCCCCAGAGGTTGTTCGTGGGATAAGCAGCTGGGTGAAGATGCCTGCCTGAAGATTTTCACCAGTGTCCCTGACGTCAGTCCCCCAGTCCATGCAAGGCGTCTGTGAGGACTGGGACCTATACAGGGCAGCCCCACGTGATAATGATATGTGCTGTGGCCAGCTGGGCACCCTGTCGCCAGCTCCTCCTGGGTCTGCCAGGTGGGGTGGACGCCATGAGCCACAGCAGAAGCGGGCCGGGCCTGAGTTTGGACACCTGCTCCTCTGCCTTGTCCGCTGCTGATGTAGGAAAGTCCCTTCTCCCACCCTCAGTGCAACGTCCAACATGAACCAGCCCCCTAAGCCCAGCAACCCCGCCCCCCTAATGCGGATGTCAACCTAAAGAAAGAAACGGAACCACAATCCATATAGAGAGGTTGTCTGGGTCAAGGCTGAGAGAGCTGCCCAGGACGCCAAGGTGTCCTGGGAGTGCTCCATTCACCCTTATTACCAGGAAGTGTTTCAAGACTGAAGGGGACAGGGAGTGGGCTGACGATGTCAGCAGGAATTCTGACTGCTTTCCAGAGAGAACCTTGGTGATGGGCTAGACAGTATTGAATGACAGGGTAAGAGTTACGGGGTCCAGCATGTGGCTCTTTATGTCGACTGGCGTCAGCGTGGAACCCACAGAGCAAGTGGCTTCATGAGGTCTTAGCTCAAGTGCGAATGAGATGTAACTGCTGTCTCATTCCAGTGCCTCTCTGGGCCTGATAACTAAAGGGAGTTCACATTCCTCAGATACAAAGTTCCTTTTCTTTTTCATGGATCTAAGCAATGGGTCACTCAGGCATGGGGACTCCTGGGCCATCTCTGGGTTTTCAGGGAGGGCCTGGTCTGGAAGGAGGGGTCTTATCTCCTAGAGCCCCAGGGATGGGTGTGTAGGAACAGGGGCGCTGGGCGATGTGTGTCCCCTGTGTGTGTGTGGACACAGTGGGCCCCATGGCTCTTCACGTAGGATGGTATCCACCTAAGGCCTTTGCTCTGTGGCTACTGTCCACCTCCACTTGGCCTCCCAAGTTGTCCTGGCTGGCTGGTGACGCCTTGGGTTAGTGTGGGGTGGCTGATGTGTGTTGGGGGCTGCAGGCCCTGGGTCTCTGACACAGGTGTATCTGGGCAAGCACACCAAGCCTGTGGTTTAAAGGGATGGGTACCTGTGTGCATGTGTGTGTGCACGTGTGGCAAAAGGCTTTGCTGCATGGTTTTTGTGTGGATCTGTCTTCGAGTGTCACATGTGCCTTTCTGTGTTTCTCTGTGAGTTTTCCTGTGTCAGGTTGTGTGTCTGTTGTGTGGGAGGAAAAACAGCTCTGCGTGTCTTGTTCAACTCTTTTAAATGTAATTTGACTGACATTTTTCTTTTAATTGACCAAAGAACAACTCGTAAATTGGCAGCCTCCAGAGCCAGAGTAGACTCAGCGACGCCAGCGCAGGCATGTGGTGAAAGAAGCTTTAGGGACAGAAAAAGAAAAGTGACCCACAGAAAACAAGTGAGGGGCAGAAACGGCCAGAGTGGCTGCGACTCAGCTTTTGCCTCATTTCAACACAGTTTGAACAGTGGGCCACGTTTAACTGGCCAAAACTCAATGATTGGTGGCTGGGCGTGGTGGCTCACGCCTGTAATCCAAGCACTTTGGAGGCCAAGGTGGGCGGATCACCTGAGGTAGGGAGTTCAAGACCAGCCTGACCAACATGGTGAAACCCCATCTTTAAAAAAAAAAAAATTAAAAAATAACAAAAAAATCTCGGTGCTTGGCACAAAAGTAGGCTAGAGTCTGTTTACAATTCCATTTAGGTTATAGTTTACAACGTATAGAGAAACCTTTAGGCTGAACTTAAAATACTTAAGGAGGTAGTTTTAGGCTAAACTTGATTTAACAGTCTGTTTTCACATTTCTTCTGATAAAGACACCAGTTAGAGAGTGGGATTAGGGTTCACCCCATTGACCATGAGGTCGTTTAACTTAATCACCTCTGTAAAGAACCTGCCTCCAAACACAGTCACCTCCCGAGATAACTAGAGGTCAGGACTTCAGCCTATGAATTGGAAGGGGAGACGAAATGGAGCCCATGGCAGTCACGGGGTGAGATAGATGAGTGTGTTCCATCAGCACCTCCAGGCTATTGGGGACATGGTCTTCTCTTGGCCCCAGAGTCAGCCTTTGGGAAACTCTTCAGTTCCTGGCAACGAGCTCCTGGCATGGAAGACTAGACCTGGGCCAAGGGAAATGCCCTACTGTGTAGGCAGAGAAAGACCACGATGGAAGATTCAGACAAGGCTGGAGGACTCTGTGGGACTGGCTGTGACACCAGGGTATCCCCAAAGAGATCAATGATCTGCCCACAGTGAGGTTCTCTCTCTCCCAGGCCATGGAAGAAATACACATGTAAAGATCCCCATCTCAGAGGTAGGGTGTGGGGGTCGGGGGGGAAGATCCCCGTCTTGGCCCCGTGTGGCGGCTCATGCCTGTAATCCCAGCACTTGGGAGGCTGAGTCGGGTGGATGCCCTGAGTTTAGGAGTTTGAGATGAGCTGGGCCAACATGGTAAAACCCGGCCAGGCACAGTGGCTCATGCCTGTAATCCCACCACTTGGGAGGCCAAGACAGGTGGATCCCCTGAGGTTAGGAGTTTGAGACCAGCCTGGCCAACATGGTGAAACCCGGCCAGATGTGGCGGCTCACGCCTGTAATCCCAGCACTTTGGGAGGCCAAGGCAGGTGGATCATGAGGTCAAGAGATCAAGACCATCCTGGTCAGCATGGTGAAACCCCATCTTTACTGCACTCCAGCCTGGCGACAGAGTAAGAATGTCTAAAAAAAACCTGTCTCTGCTAAAAATACAAAAATTAGCCAGGCATGGCAGTGTGCACCTGTAATCCCAGCTACTCAGGAGGCTGAGGCAGAATTGCTTGAATTCAGGGGGCAGAGGTTGCAGTGAGCAGAGATCATGCCATTGCACTCCAGCCTGGGTGATGAGCAAAACTGTCTCAAAAAAATAATAAATACAAATAAACGTCCCTATCTCCCTTGCTGTTTCCTGGGCATGACCAGAGGCCTGGAGGCCCTAGACCCCTCCTGAGGCCTGTGTTGCTCTGACTGGTGTCTGTCCATCTGGCACATTTACAACTCCCTCCCCAGGCCTGAGAACCAGAGGGGTGGATGTGGAAATGGCAGTCTGAGGGCATGGGAAAATGAGATGTCCAGCTCCAGTAGTGACGCGGGGAAAAGGGAAGTGAGTTCTTCCCCAGCCTTTGTTCCACTCAGTCCCTCAGTGGATTGGGTGATGCCTGTCACATTGGGGAGGCCGTGTGCCTTGCCCACTGTCTTACATGCTAAATGCACCTGGAAATGCCCTCACGGACACACATGGAACTGTGCAATCCAGGCACACCGTGGCCAGCCAGAATGGCCGACATAAAATCAGCCGCCACAGGACCATGGAGGTTGATGAGCAAGCAATCTCTGAGCTCGCTAGAGAGAAACCTCTAGTGAACAAAGAGGAGGCACCGATACTCCAATTCTGATTCGCTTGCTCATGTATTCTTGGCAGCTCACACCTCACCTGGGGACCTTGCTCAGCTCATTACGTAAGATCTATTAAAAGGCAGCCACTGTTGCGTGGCCACTCAGTCAACAAGCCTAGAGACCATCCTGCAGGCCACGCATGTGGCTTTTACCCTCGGCCAGGGCCTGCCCATGTACTGGCCGTGCACCACGCCTGGTGTGGGAGGGGGTTTCTCCCATCAGCCCTGCCAAGGAAAGCCTTTGTTATTGCCTGTGGTCAGGACTGGCAAATCACTCACAAGAGCCAGACTCAATTGTGACACTGTGTAACATGTGACATCACAAATAGCCAAAACCAGGGACACAGACCTGAGACACATTATGCCGCTGTGTAACGTGCTATTGTGAAAGTAGATAAAATGTAAACGCTGTTGGGATCCCCCAGACACTTGAGCCTTGAGAGAGCTGTGACTGTGGTCTGAGCTGTATAGTGGAAGTTACAGCTTCAGCTTCCTAGATCGTGAAGTCTCTCTTTCTCATTCTCCATGTTCTGTAACTGGCCAGGAGAAACCACAGACCAGGCCTCCCCTTCTAGTCGCTGATCTGGGTCATGGATTAGCTGCGTCCTTTATTGTCCTGTATCTAACTCAGACTAGATGGTGTAAGAGACCCCACACCTTTTACATCTTCATTGTGGAATGTTAAATATGCCTTTCTCACAAAGAATACTGCGTTGACGAATGAGATTACTGTAACTGTGTGCTAGCCTTGTGGGGAGTACGTTGAAACCCTGCTAAGCTTCCCAAACCTTATATATATAAATGAGCCCCAAGAATTCCACTCTTTGGAATCTGTGTTCCTGATGGCTGTTGGCAAGGTTTGTGCTCAAATAAACTCCACTTTTAACCATTTTTCCCGAAACCTGTTATTTAAAGTTGACAATATCATATGGCAGCCAGGAGATGGCCTGCAGATGTGAGTCACACGCCACTGGATGACACCTAACTGTATTAGCAACATTCTAAACTGTCACATGACTGCTTCACTTTCTTCCACTTGACCAACCCTGGGTGAGTAACTAATACCCTTTAAATGATAAGGGGCACCTGGGCTGGAGTGTCAGTGGCTTGATGAACTCAGTCCCACCTGACTTACTACTGGTCTGAGCCATTGTCTGTGCAGCTGGACTAAAGCCTGGCTGAGGATGAACAGTGGCTGCCCCAGCACAGAATGGACCTTTCTTCCTGTTCATTTCTTCCAAACCAAAGGTCAGCATCTTCAGACTCATATTTTATCCCGAGCCCTGCAGGGACAATGCACAGAGTCCCTTCTCTTAGAGGGAAGCTTCCACAGCTACAGCCTGGGGACCCCACCCCAGGACTGTCCCTGAGGACCACCCAGGTCCTATTTCTAACCAAATGTCCATTCCTCTAACCTAAGGGCTCTGTCTCTTCTCACCACTCTCCCCAGCAGCACCCTAAAGAGTAGGGATCCTGTCGTCATCCCACCACATTTATATCCATATCAAAACCCCAGTCATTCCTTTACAAAACCAAAATGTGGCACACATACACCATGGAATACTGTGCATCCATAAAAAAGAGTGAGTTCGGGCCGGGCGCGGTGGCTCACGCCTATAATCCCAGCACTTTGGGAGGCCGAGGCGGGTGGATCACGAGGTCAAGAGATCGAGACCATCCTGGTCAACATAGTGAAACCCCGTCTCTACTAAAAATACAAAAAATTAGCTGGGCATGGTGGCGCATGCCTGTAATCCCAGCTACTCAGGAGGCTGAGGCAGGAGAATTGCCTGAACCCAGGAGGCAGAGGTTGCGGTGAGCGCCATTGCACTCCAGCCTGGGTAACAGGAGCGAAACTCCGCCTCAAAAAAAATAAATTTTCAGTTAGGCTGTGGAGCTTCAGAAGCTCTTACTCACAACTGGGATATTTACAAGCTCAGCCATCCGTCTGGATGTCCCTCAGCACATTGTAATATTAAGTGTGCACCCTCCATGCGGCTGTCCACTGTGGTTCACAGATGGAGGGAAATGCACAGGAGGAAGTCATCATTGGTCACGTGGTATCAGCAGCAACCTGGCTGCTCAGCGCAGGGTTTAAATTAAAATGTAGTTTACACAGTGCTGACCTGTTGGAAGTAACAAAAATGGTTCATATGCACACATGGATGAAACTAAATGTTTAGGTCTGAGTTTAAATCTTAGAAAAAATAAAAAATAAACCAGATGAGGCCTAAAGAGGAAAAATTATTTACTTAAGAAATGGAAACACACTATGAATTCTTTAAATATCTGTAGAGATAATTTGGAAGTTGGAGTGGAACCGCATGATTTACACTTGAGTTGGTGACCAAGAGATGGAGGAAAACATGAGTCGAAATGGTGATAAGGAAACATATGAAAGAGAGGCCTTTAGGTGGCTGATGATGAGTGTTAATAGTGTGAGTAAACTCTGTGCTTCTGGGTCCCAGGAATCACCGACAGATAGAAAGTACCACACATGCTGTGCTGGCAGAGCTGGCAGGAACAAGTGAACTCCCTTCAACCCACGCCCCCTTTATTTAGGATTCCTGGCTGCCCTCGCCCCTCTCTAACATCGTGAGCAGCTTCAGAAAGGAGGATCAGGACAGCCAAGGCTCTCCACCTGAGATTCCCTGGTGTGTCAGGCAGGAAGGCTTTGGGGTCTGAGGGCAGTGTGGGACAGTAAGGGACACTCCTGAGATGGCCTCTCCCAGCTGGAAAATGACTCAGAGCCTCCATGGGAGTTTGGTCATCAGGGAGCCCCCTGGTTAGATTTGGGTGGCAACACTGACCTGCTAGGACACACCTTCATCCCACTGGGTCAGCTGTGAGAACTCAGGGCAGAGGGGCCCAGGAACAGGCAGGTCGCAGCTCTTACTTAAATGCAGCGGCTCTGCTCCTGTGAAGGCTTTGTGAGATGTAAGGCAGCTTCAGAAAGCTGAGGCTCCACAGCAGAGTGTCAGGAAGCGGAGTGGCATCTGAACCATCCCCAGGGCTCCTGTCTTTACCCTCCTCATTTGCTGTACAGAGGAGGGGGCACCTTACCTGGGGACGGGAATCCACAGTCGGCTCTGCTCCACACACCCGCCCTCCTCACTATGCTGATTCTGACCCACAGTCCCTCCCCTCTGTCCAATTTAGGGTCTGTGGCCCGGGCAGGGCTAGCTCAGCCACCCTCAGCATTCAAAGGTTCTGAACAAATGTCACTTCTGAACAAATGCCACAGCTGTCTGCACTGAGGACAGCAGCAACACTGGCAATGCTGACAGCTGGGGCCAACGTGACACATTCTTCACATATACATGCTATGGGCATTTTCTGTCACTGTGCTTGTAAGGCATTTTCTTAAAGGGGACTTTCGCTATGTCAGATAGCTTCAATATTTATGTAGACGAATGCTTTTTTCTCAAGATCAGTATTTTTGTGTCCTAAAACATATATATATATATATACGTATATATGCATATATATGTGTATGTGCATATACAACCATGTGTATATATACATACACACACGTGTATATAGTTTTATATATACACATGCACATGTTCATATTAAAAACATTTGATTATATCTCAAAGTTCTGTTAAAAAAATGAATGGCTTGATATTCTAGGGCTAAGTAAGGGATGGCTGCTTTATTTAAAACATAAATAGTTTCCAGTAGATTCCTTTAAAAATATTATAGGGGATTTCCAGATCACTCCCACTCCCATCTTTTTATAATTTTTGGCTATTTTCCAGAGTCTTGAATTCAATGAGGTGGAGGTGGAAGAAAGCGTTTAGAAAGCCAGTGGGTACAGGAGAGCTGGTGTCGGATGAGGCAGAGTGGGGAGAGATGCTCCTTTAAATGAAAGCTTCTAGAACCCGCAGAAAGCAAGGGTGAGGTGGGCAATCTTCCTGCAGAGCCACCAGAAAAAGGCTTTAGATCCAACACTCCTGTTCACAAACACAGACAGAGGCATCTGTTTTCTTAAAACAACTCTTTCTATATAGAAATAGAAATAATTAAAAGGGGAAAATTTTGGTTTAGTTATTTCATTCAATTATTAACAAATAACTTTTGAAACAAACAAAAACTGTAAAAGTGGACCTCAAATTATTGTTTAATAATCTGGATCTGTGGCTCAGATACAGATTGAGCAAAACAGCCATGGATGAAGACCCAGCAGTGGATAATGCCCCAGCCATGGATGAAATCCCAGCAGCGGATGCCCCAGCCGTGGAAGTCCCGGCAGCGGATGATGCCCCGGCCGTGGAAGAAGTCCCGGCAGCGGATGATGCCCCAGCTGTGGACGAAGTCCCAGCAGTGGATGAAAGCCAACAGTTGTTTTCAAGAAAAGTCTAATACACAAGTCATTACTGAGATTTATCAAGAAAAAAGGGAAATCACAAAATTAATATCAGAAATTAATAGAAAGACATAACCACAGAGAGAGCAGAGATTACAAAACAATGAGTGGATATTATGAATACATAACTTGTTTTAAAGCAATGTTTTGTTTCACTTGGGCTGGTGGCCATACACTGCATAGTCAGCCAATAGTGAGTCTCCTCATGGGGGAGGCTTGGGTTGAGGCTGAGGGTCTTTAACCCGCATGCACAAGAGAGTTGCCACGAGGGGGTGGAAATCAGGCTACCAACCAAGTGCTGCACAGAGTTCCTACCTGTCCCTCTCCTCACCATTTTCAGCTGGCCGGGTTTGAGCATTTTAGGGCTTGGGAAGGTATTACTACATCTACTAAAAGACATCACGGATCCTTATGTGCTTTGGCCAGCTTCTGGGCAAATTAACTTGACAACTGAAGTGGGCCGCACTGGCCTGTGTGGTCCCCCACTCCTCTTAGAATTTGTGAGCTTGGTGCCTACTGGAGGGTGGACGGTGGGAGGATCAGGAAAATAACTGATATGAGGCTGAATACGTGGATGATGAAATAACCTGTATAACAAATCCTCATGACACACGTTTACGTATGTACCGAACCTGCTCATCCTGCACAGGTTCCCCAAACAAAAAAGAATCTGTGAGCTGACCCAAAAACCTGGGGATCTTTGTGCTTTTCAGACTGATGACTCCGCTGGTCTGTGGGGAGATGTGCCTGTAACTGCCCTGGGTCGTGTGACCACGGAGGCCACTTTATAACGATGGGCAGGCAGTGTCTGGGACCTCTATAGGGCTTATACACAAATGCTGGACTCCCTGCGTGGTGGCGAACACCCCGTGATAAAAAGCATGCCAGTAGTTGCCAGTGTCAGCACAGGTCCACACCACTGGGTTTGTGTTTTCACTTTTTCATTCAGGAACTCGGGAGCTGGGGCCACCCCTTGGCCCTTCAGGTTCTCCACCTGAGCAGCGAGGATAATAAACCAGACCCAGGGATGGCTCTGGTGAGGATGGAGGAGTCACTGTACAGACAGAGTAGAGTGGGGCTGGATCTTATTTTTTAGAAGTGGACACTGGCGACTGGGCTGTGTAAATGGGAAATCTCTCCTGAGAAAACACACAGCCTCGCCTGCACAGAAGCACACACATTCACATCACATGATGCAGCCTCACACAAGACATTGCCAATCCTCAAGGACCCAACTCAGTGCAACCCAGAAGGGAGCACAGCTGCTACCTCAAAATTTGGCCATGATTTTTCCCTGGGGAACTCAGTTTTTTTTGAGACAGAGTTTCACTGTTGTTACCCAGACTGAAGTGCAATGGCACGATCTCGGCTCACCGCAACCTCCACCTCCTGGGTTCAAGCAATTCTCTTGCCTCAGCCTCCCGAGTAGCTGGGACTATAGGCATGCACCACCATGCCCAGCTAATTTTTGTATTTTTAAGTAGAGACGGGGTTTCACCTTGTTGACCAGGATGGTCTCGAGCTCTTGACCTCGTGATCCACCCGCCTCAGCCTCCCAAAGTGCTGGGATTATAGGCATGAGCCACCGCACCTGGCCAGAAAACACTTTCACTATGCTTATTCCTATCACAATCCCAGAATCAGGGTGGCACTGCACAGTGAAACCAACTTTTTTTTCTTGACAATAATTCCAGAATACTTACCAGAGTCACACTTCAGATGGAACACCGGCACTACCTGCAACACAGAAACAAAGCTGTACGAGGGCACGGCGTGCTGTGGATTCTGTGCACGAAGTTCTGCTTCTCTCAATGAATACTGAAAACCTGATCAGAAACTTAGTCAACTGCTACAGTAATCAAAACGGCATGGTACTAATACCGAAACAGAGATGTAGACCAATGAACAGAACAGAGCTTCATTAAACAGGACAGAATGGGCGGCCACAGAGGCCTGGGATAGATTTTATGTCCCCGCAACACAACAGGGAGCACACTTCATAGCGTGCTGATGCTTACTGAATGGTACACCTGAAGACAGGGTGACTCTGTTTGATTGTATCTGTTCTTATTCCAAGAGGCTCGACGACATGCTCTATGGAAGCGTGATCCTTCAAACGCACTCATCTATTCTTTCAGTCATTTTTCACTCCCTCAGCCAAGAGCTTCTCCATCTGGGTTTCTGCAACACCAATCTCAAACCCATAAAGCAATGGGTCACAGCAACCCCACTAAGCTCACACGCCCAGCTGCGGAAGCAAACTTCACTTTACGGCAAGTCTAATTTGCCATTACAGGCAGTGCAGCATGTTATAGATTAGCCTTTGGCGTTAGAGAGATCCAGCTGTGGGCGTGTCTCATGAATAATTTACTTAACTGAGACTCACATTCCTCATCTGTATAATGAGTAGAACCAAACTAACTATGCCTCAAAGTGACTGTGATGCTTCAAGGAGGCAACATAGAGAAGTGACCACGTAGTATCCAAAACTCAAATGTGTATCAGTTATCCTTTTCATTTTAATAACTTAAGCAGCTGCTATCAAGTACAGTCATGTGGCATAGAGACATTTTGATCAATGATTACTTACATGGCTCGGGTCAGGCGGGCGTACACAAACTTACTGGCCTGCATCATTAGATTAAAACAAAATTTTTGGTTAAAAATTGTAAGTAAGATGCTATACAAATGAAAGACTAACCACAGTGATGAAATTTTTAGGGAGAGATAAAACTAAGAGTTCACAAGGATTTGGAGAAATGTCTCCTCACATGTGCTGCTACAGGAGCATGAATTAGCATCACCATTTTGAAAAGTATTTGGCACTATTCGTGACAATAGAAGATATGTTTCCTTCTAACAATCTACTTCACAGAAATGAGTGCAGTATTATTCCAAAACCATTGACAAAAATACTCAAAGCAACATTACTTCTCACAGCCATAATTATTTAAAAACAAAAGAAGAAAATTCTATGTCAATCAACAGTGGAGTGAATAAACTGTAATACGTGACTACAGTGGAATGGTATGCGACAAGGATATAGAAGAATTATAGTTACACTTACAAACATGAATGAATTTCAAATTATAATGTGAGCGAAAAAGCCAGACACCGAGAAACACATATTGACTTATTCTATGTATGACAGTCCAAACCTGGAGAGGTCTAAACAAGTCATTAGCAGTCAGAGCAGGTCCCTTAAGGAAGATGATTAAAGGAGGAGGGAAATTTCAGGAAGGAACCAGGGATGTCTGCACTTGTGCCATCTCACCCTCTCAGATGTCAGGGTCCCAAAAGAGGGTGCTGGCAATATTTAGGTGGTTCAAAGGTCTCATGAAGAAAAGCAAATGACAGACAGCAACAAACTCACTTCTTTAATGAAGTGCCCCAGACTGGACAGAGGATGCCCACTTGGTTTTGCATCTTACTATGTAAAATGAGGATGGACAGAATTATGTGTTCTTAGCATGGACAGAATTATGTGCTATCAGCACATTTTATCCTATGGAGTTTCCTGTACAACTTTTAGCAATCTGTGAATAAAAGGTCCAGAACTTAACTTATAAATATCAACTTAGAGAACAACGGAAGCCTAATTTTTAAAGACAGGAAATAGTGTAATGCCATCTTCTGTGGGAAGGAACTCTTGGTTTCCCCAAAAATTAGAGAACTGGAGAGAAAGAAGCCTCATCTCAGAATCTGTGGCAGAAATGGGAAGTGGAGGCTACAAATGTGCTCAAGGTCAGACTCCTTCTCTGCCTGCCCAGAAGACTGGAGACGTACCAGTGAGCCCAGAGTGAATATTCACTCTGCCATCCACCCCTGGGAGATCCCTTTAAACCCACAGAGAGGACAGAAACATAAATGTGCTATAACAAGTCTTAAAAGTTCAGAGGGTGATTATCAATTTCCCCCTGGCACACAGCAGAACTTTTTCTCTAGGTTAAAGTAAATGCCTGTGAGACAGATGTTCCGACAGATTCCTTCCTTTCATTACGTATGACACCCGATGCTCAGCCCTACATCCCTTGTGCATAATCTCAAGGAGTGCTGATTAATCCAAACCAAAGGTTTTGATGCTTCACTGGGCAGAAAAGAGCAGGTGTACTGCAAAGATCATCTCTAATGAACACAGCACCCTCATAGCCCAGAGACACAGTTCCTACCTTTATGACAACAAACTTTGAAAAGAACAAACCTCACACACATTTTCATTTTCTTTCTGATTTCATACCCCCTTCTTCAGCCCCTCAAGCAGCGGGGATAACCTGAAGGCTCTTAAGAACACTTTTTCATTAGGTCCTACCTGGAAAGTAGTTCCCTACCTTGGGGGTCGTCTTCACTGAATGTGAAGACCCTCACCCGAAACCAGCCCTTAGAAGCAAAAACATCAGGACAAGTCATTAGAAAGAGTGACTCACCCACTCCTCTTCCTCCAGCTGAAGCCACGTCAGCTCACACAACATCCCCTGGCTGGTCCTTGGGGTTCACATGCATTCATACAGCCCCTCTGATCAGAGTTATACACTTGCAAAATTACTTGCTCTCACTAGACCCCCAATGTTCTTTAACCGGAACCCAGTATCAGGTTTCTATATATAAAAACCAGCAAGTTTGTTCCTCAGCAGGTGAGCTACTTCAGGGTACATACCATACCAGAAACTGACAAACTCTGCAATTAGACAAAAGACTATGAGAATCAGATTAATTATTCTGCATTCCCCCCCCACCCCCAACATCTGTTGTCTCTTGATGACTTCAGAAAACTAGTTGTAAGACAATGGTTGAGTCAAAGGCCAAGAATCAAACATGCTAGTATAGAGGACACCTGTGGAAAAGACAAGACCTTTTCCCACAGAATTTATCTATGAAGTTGATTGACACTGGCAAATACACAATGCCTAAACCAAAGAGGAAAACTGGTGTTGAGAAAAATTCCTCTGCATTACAGTTGATAATGGATGCTGTCTTTTAAAAACATTCTAATATATTACATATCCGATGGGAAGACACTCCCACTGAATTCCACCCCTACAAAGAGGTTAAGACACGTTGTACATAATGTGCCTTCTCACATTATCACAATTAACAGAAGGAAAGAAATCAGAAAAGAAATAATTCTTTTTACATTTTGTTTTCTTTTGAAGTTTAAGTTCCAGGATGCATGTGCAGGACTGTGCAGGTTTATTACACAGGTAAACATGTGCTATGGTGCTTTGCTGCATGTATCGACCCATCACCCAGGTTTAAGCCCCGCATCCATTAGCTATTTATCCAGATGCTCTCCGTCCCCGATCCCCACGTGACAGGGCATTCTTTAGAGGATTAAAAAAAGGGGTTCTTACCTCATAATAATCCATCAAAGTAAATGTCTCACTGTCCTCAGGAGCTGAAGGGACACAGAGTAAAAGCCAGTACCCTGGTGGCTGGAGACTGTGAGTAACTCAGGGAGCTTTGCTGCATGTGGCATATGGAGTGTGGGACTGAAAATTCTGAGACCATCTCAGAGGAACAACGATGTTCAAATAGCACTGTGAGGGAGTCGCACCAGATATCTTTCATCTTAGACAATGCCAAGGCCTAATAATACTCTCGCATTCCCAACTCCCAAAAGATATTAACCAATCAAAAAGCAAGCCTTAGATGTCTGCTGTGACATAGGCAGGAAAAACTGGTCTCCTGGGAAAAGTAATCATTAAATACCAGAGCAAGAAACGATGGTTACAAACGCAGCCCACAGAGCCCATGGACACACATCCTCTCATCTCTATCTTATTAAAATCCAAGAGGAACAAGTCAGACCTCTACAGTTATTATTATTATTTTTTTTTGTTCTGGCTTCACAGCCCCCTTCCTAGGTTCCAAAGCAACAGGTGTAACCCAACTGCTCCCAGAAATACTCTTAGGGTTATCATTTTCCTTTTTTGTTTGTTTGTTTGTTTGTTTGAGACAGAGTCTTGCTCTGTCACCAGGCACCAGGCTGGAGTGCAGTGGCGGGATCTCGGCTCCCTGCAACATCTGCCTCCTGGTTTCAAGCAATTCTCCTGCCGCAGCCTCCCAAGTAGCTGGGACTACAGGCGCATGCTAATTTTTAGTAGAGACGGAGTTTCACTATGTTGGCCAGGATTGTCTTGATCTCTTGACCTCGTGATCCGACCACCTCAGCCTCCCAAAGTGTTAGGATTACAGGCGTGAGCCACTGCACCCAGCCTAGAATATCATTTTCTACCTGCAGAAATTGTCCTTTAGCAGCCTCCCTCATGGATGGTATCCACTGGCCAATCTTTAGAGACACAAATCTCAGCAAGAAGTTATTTCAGAGAGTGACTCACCCACCCTCCTACTCCAGGTGAGGTCACACTGGATTACACGAGGTCACCCTGAGCTTTCCTCAGTGTTCTCAGATTCCCTCCAGGCTCTGTGGAGCCAGAGGTCTTCAACAAGGCATTGCTCACACTTTCCAGCCTTCAAGTGAGAAAGAGGAGCTGAAGGAATCACCTTTCCATTTTTCCTTCCACTGGCCCATGATAGGTCGCACCTCCAATCTCACAACCCTGAGATCCCAACTTTAATGTGCACGCTTTCAGTGAGATGAGTCCAACAGTCAGACCCTGGGCCAGGCTCACAGCAGACATGCAAGACAGCATTCTGTGGGGATGGAAATGCTCTCTGCTGTATGGCTGCTGGGCAACTGCATGGTGGCTGTTGTGATGTTTTGAATATTTCATTGTATATATTTAAGTTTATTTAACTATAAAGAGGCATGTATATGACTGAGAAGCACACTAGATGGGACAGCTCAAGAGATCCAGACATGAGGAAGACCTGACTCTCCTCTCCTGATGTTTCTTGCAGAATTGTTTGCTGCTCTGATCCTACCACACATTTACGGTTACTTCCTGGGCATCTGCACAAGGGCCAGTCACTGTGTGGGGCTGGGGATAGGACAGTGAGGACAACATCCAGGTCCAGAGGGATTCCAGCAGGGATGAGCTTGCACCCAGCAGAAGAGAGTGGCCCTGCACACCCTGTCTAGAATAGATCAGAGCAGAAGGAGCAGAAGGGTGGGGGCATCTCACTGTCCTCAGGAGCTCGCCCTCATCTCCAGGAACCCTGACTCCGAAGCTGGGCAGGCTCCAGGATGAGTGTGGGGCTCAACAGGCTGGACAGGCTGAGAAGAACACCTTTCCACACCTGCACTAGACCCCAGCCCAGGGGTGACCTAGAGCTCATCCAAGGGGGTGTGTTCATTAAAACATCCATGGAGCCTAACATATCCTTCCCAGGACTGAGCTCTGGGGTAAGGACAAATGAGGAAGACACAGTCACTGCCCTGCTAGTTAACACCCACAGCCAGGGTTCCTCTATTTACCTGCGGGAATACTCAAACTTAAGAGATGGACGATTTTAAACCATCTCCAATATAAGTGGAAACTGAGATGTTATGGATCCAAAGAGTTGAAAGGATGACCTGGACTCTGGGATCAGTCCCTAGCCCTTTGCTGAGATGACCCTGTACTGGAACTCATGTCCCTCCCCACCTGCCCTGCTACTTGGGAGTGCTGCAGCTGCCCAAGCCAAGAGCTGGGAACTCTGTCCAGTTGAAAAGCATTTCTGGGCCAGAAGACCCTTGGCCACCAGGATCTACTAAAGAAACATTCCGCAGGACACTTCCAGAAGAGGTGAAAAATAAAAACTTACCTGTCTCAGCCCCAAGAAGATCAGGCCTGGGACCTCTCTGTGTCTGGCCTGACCCTGAGATCCACTCCTACTGACTCGTGTCCTATCTGCTCTGTGTCAGAATAATGGGGACCTGATTCCGGTTCCGCCCCTCTCAGCAATTTCTGCTGGTGTCATTGCCATCATCACACAGAGCTGGAGAATACATGGGCCAGGAAGGAAGCCCCTCTCTCGAGGCATTTGGGGTGATGTTGACACCAAGCTTTCGAAAGAGAGGAAACAAAGTCCTACTCACTCTTCCCCAGAAGAAGTCTCATATTCTGCCTGAGCCATGGTGATGATGCTGAACTGCCACCCCTAACATTGAAACCTTGACATTCTCTTTTAACAATGTCCAAAATGTCCTCATTTTCTCCCCTCTGATCCTCAAAATCATGTCCCGCTTCAGGTCTAGCACGAGGCTCTTGCTCTGTCCAGGCTGGAGTACAGTGGCATGATCTCGGCTCACTGCAACCTCAGCTTCCTGGGTTCAAGCAATTCTCCTGCCTCACTCAGCCTTCCAAGTAGCTGTGACCACAGGCGCCGGCCACCACGCCCGGCTAATGTATTTATAGTACAGATGGGGTTTCATTTTATTGGCCCTGTCTGCCTCAGCCTCCCAAAGTGCTGGGATTCCATGTGCGAGCCACCGAGGCAGTGGGTTTTCATGGGATATTTAGCAAGTCCATGTTGGCTGCCAAATACAAAATTATTTTTCAGGAAGAAAATGGTGCTACTGAGAAACAGAAATATGCTCACTACTAGTTTGTCAGTGATGTCATCTTTTGACTGACATCATCAATCAGGCCACAGTCAGTTATAAACCCCGGTGACTGGTAGCTAGAGTCCATGACAGCTGAGGCCTGATTCACAATGGCAGTCAAAAATGATATTCACTTGATATTCTAGAAGCCCCAGAAAAAGACATTTCTCTTCAAGACAAAGAAATGCATCTTACTATGTGAGGTGACGTCTCCTCCTGAAGCGTCTCAGTTGTACACTCCTCTGGCTCTTCAACAGGAGCTAGGAGAACACAGAGAGACAGTCAGTGCACTGGTGCTGCTGAGAAATCCCATAGGGAGGCTCGGGAAATGTGGACTGAAGCTGCAGTGTATGGAGCTGGGCTGCTGACAAGCATGGACTGAGCTGCTCCTGGACCACTCTCCTTGGTGTTGAAGGAAGGCAAAGGAGAGGGGCAGAAAGAAATGAAAAAGCCTTGGCTTTCTAGCTAGGGCAACCTCATCAATGTGAAATAGTCACCTTAAGAACCGGTTAATAAAGAAAGGCACTGTATGGCTCAGCGAGAGCATCTCATCACACCTGCTGCCCACGTGAATGTCTAGGCAAATCCCAACATTTTATGAAATCTTACAGGATTATTTAAATTCTGTGGATCTACATATCCTGCTACTACATTTATCATCTATCCTGTTGTACTTTTTAAATTGTAGTAAAGTATACGTATTTATTATTTTAGTTATTAACTGTGCATTTTAATGATGTTATATTCAGTGAGTAACATTCATGATGCCGTCTGAATGAGAAAAATCCAAATTCATAATCTAGCTTCCACCTTAAACAATGAAAGAAAAACAGCAATGTAATGTCAAATAGAGGAAAAGTAGATAATGATTGCAGAAATTAATGGAATAAAAAACAGGACATCATCAGAGAAAAATCAAGAAAACCAAAAACGAGTTCTTTGAAAAGATCAATAACATTGATAAACCTCTACCTTGTCTAACCACAAAGAAAAAGAGGGAAGTCACGATGTACTAATAATCAGTTGAAGATGAGTGGAATCAAAAAATAAAGTAAAGAAATATTGTGAACACACTGTGCTCACACTTGGATACATTATATGAAATGAGCTAATTTTTTGGATCTGTTTCAGAAGGTTAAAAGTCTTTTCGGGATAAACAAATCATCTGAATTGGCTTATATTTATTTTAGAAATTGAATCAATAATTAGTATCTTCTCGAAAAAAAGAAAAAAAAAAAAAACACTACCTTCAGATGAATTCAACGGTAAATTTTACCAAAATTCTTACAAAGAGGCCGGGCGCGGTGGCTCAAGCCTGTAATCCCAGCACTTTGGGAGGCCGAGGCGGGTGGATCATGAGGTCAAGAGATCGAGACCATCCTGGTCAACATGGTGAAACCCCGTCTCTACTAAAAATACAAAAAATTAGCTGGGCATGGTGGCGCGTGCCTGTAATCCCAGCTACTCGGGAGACTGAGGCAGGAGAATTGCCTGAACCCAGGAGGCGGAGGTTGCAGTGAGCCGAGATCGTGCCATTGCACTCCAGCCTGGGTAACAAGAGCGAAACTCTGTCTCAAAAAAAAAAAAAAAAAAAAAAAGACTCATGTTTTTGTAAATGCCCTAAAATGTTCAATCAATGTCGGGAAGAATAATCCAGATACTTGGTAGTGGTTGAATACAGAGAGGGAGCTTACATGTCTCTGCACAGGGTAGGAAGGAAAGTGACTTCACAGTTTCCATGGCCACATGATTTCCACCTCATGACAGAGATCTATGATTTCCCTGATCCCCAAGTCAGCCCCAAGGGACAGGCAGGGAAGGGGCTACAACCCATATTTTCCAATTCAGTGAATTAAAACTCAGACATTTTGAGTGACTTGCCCAGAGTCACCACAGTGAGGAGTGATAGATATGAGGTAATAACGTAGTTGGTTCCCTGGGGATAGAGATCCTGGAACACCTGAGTCCTCTAGATCATGCCCTGGACCCTGGACCGAGAGCTCCTCTCACAAGCTTTGTGAAATCCTGCTGTCCCAGTATTTCTGTGGGATGGTTGATGCTCTGGAGAGGTGGCAGGTGGCTTACCATATTTACTGACCTACTCTATTATCCCTGCATTGTCACTTTTAGTAGTTTTATGACCCATAAGGCAAACATTTTAAGTCTCTCAGTTATGATGCACCGTCTGAGATTTTACCTGAATCCACTCTTTCCACCCATCAGGTGATTCTCATCTGCTGGGCTAGAGCTGGCCTGCCGTATAAGAGGACACACGGCATACCACGGAGCTGCTGTGTGACCCACTCCTGTGCACACTCTTGCCTTGCTTCTGCTTTCCCAGCTCTGACAATCCGAATTCTGGCTTCCAAACCAATCCTGTACGTCCCTCTCAGTTCTCAGACTTGCCTGAAATGTTGTATATTTTAATCACTGTTGTGACCATGACTGAACGGTGACATTTCATATACTATAGTACATGTTTATCTTTTTATCTTTTATATTTTTTAATAGCATTTACATTATTGTTTCAGACTTTTAGGAACGTTTCTGGGCTAGGTGTGCTGGCCCATGGCTGTAATCCTGACATTTTTGGAGGCTAAGGCAGAAGGATTGCTTGAGACCAGAAGTTCAAGAACAGTCTGGGAAACATAAAGAGACTCCATCTCTACAAATAATTTAAACACTGAAAGTTAAAGGATAGAAAATATATTCCCCACAAATAGTAACCAAAAGAGAGCTTGGGTTATTATACTAATGTCAAACAAAATAAACTTTATGTCAAAAAAATTGCAAAAGATAAGGATATTATATTAATAGAAGGGCCAATTAACCAAGAAAACATAATAATCATAAACATATATGTCATAAACGTCCCAGCCCTAAAATGCATCAAGTAAACTGACAAAATTCAAGGAAGAAATACAGTTCTACAAAAACAGTTGGAGACTTTAATATCCCACTTTTTTTTTTGAGACAGAGTCTCACTCTGTTGTCCAGGCTGGAATGTAATGGTATGATCTTGGCTCACTGCAACCTCTGTCTCCCAGGTACAAGTGATTCTCCTGCCTCAGCCTCCCAAGTAGCTGGGATTACAGGTGCCTGCCACCATGCCTGGCTAATTTTTTAATTTTTAGTAGAGATAGGGTTTCGCCTTGTTGGCCAGCCTGGTCTCGACCTCCCGACCTCAGGTGATCTGCCCACCTTGGCCTCCCAAAGTGCTAGGATTACAGGCATGAGCCAACACACCCAGCCCTAATATGCCACTTTTAACAATGAGTAGAAAACTAGACTGAAGATCATTAAGAAAATAAACGAAACAACACCATCAACCAATTGGACCTAGCAGACATACACAGGACACTGCATCCAACAGCAGAAGAGCACACATTTTTCTCAAGTGCACATGGAACATTCTCAAGGATGGACAATATATTAGCCCAGAAGAGAAGGATTAATCAACTTTAAAAGACAGAAAGTATACAAAGCATCATATCTAGTCACATTAAATTAATTAACAGGAGAACTTTTTAGAAAATCACAAATTTTTCCATTGTTTGAAAAATTAGATTAGATATCGTAACTCACACCTGTAATCCCTTTGGGAAGCCAAGGTGGGTGGATCACCTGAGGTTGGGAGTCCGGGACCAGTCTGGCCAACATGGTAAAACCCTGTTTGTAATAAAAATATAAAAATTAGCTGGGCATGGTGGCAGGCACCTGTAATCACAGCTACTCGGGAGGCTAAAGCATGAAAGTCACTTGAAACTGGGAGTCAGAGGGAGGCTGCAGTGAGCAGAGATTGCACCACTGCCATCCAGCCTGGGTGACAGAGCGAGACCCTGTCTCAATAAAAAAAAAGAAAAGAAAAGAAAAGAAAAATTAAACAACATCCTCTTAACTAGCCAATGTATCAAAAAAGAAATCACAAGGGAAGTCAGAAATTATCTTGATATAAAAGAAATAAAAAACATAACATACCAAAAACTTACAGATTCGAGCAAACACATTGCTAAGAAGGTAATTACACACATACCGTTTTAGCCCATTTAGGCTGCTAAAACTAAATGTCAGACACTGGGTGGGTTATAAACAATAGACATTATTAGAGTTCTGAAGGCTGGGAATTTAACATCAACTCACCAAAAAATTTGGTGTCTGGTGAGGGTTCATAGATGTCTTATTGTGGCCTTGGCTGGGAGCAGTGGCTCACGCCTGTATTCCCAGTACCTTGGGAGGCTGAGGTGGGTGGATCACCTGAGATCAGGAGTTGAAGACCAGCCTGACCAATATGGTGAAACCCTGTCTCTACTAAAAATGGAAAAATTAGCTGGGCATGGTGGCACACACCTGTAGTCCCAACTACTTGGGAGGCTGAGACGGGAGAACTGCTTGAACCCAGAAGGCGGAGGTTGCAATGAGCAAAGATCGTGCCACTGCACTCCAGCCTGGGCAAGAGTGAGACTTCATGTCAAAATAAAAATAAATAGAAATTTAGCTGTCTTGTTGTGGTCTCATATGGAGAATGAAACAAGGAAACTACTGAAGTCTCTATTTAAAGGGCACTAACATCACTAATCAAGGAAATGCAAATGAAAACCACAATGAGATACAACCTTACTCCTGCAAGAACTGCCACAATTAAAAAGTTGAAAACCAATGTCAGCTTGAATGTGAAGAGGGAACTTTTACACGACTGGTGGGAATGTAAATTAGTATAACCAGTATGGAAAACAGCATGGACAGTCCTCAAAGAAGTAAAAGTAGAACTACCATTTCATCCAGCAATCCCACTACAGGGTATCTACCCAAAGGAAAAGAAGAAGTCACATGAAAAAAGACACAAAGACACGTGCAAATGCATGTTTATAGCACAATTTGCAACTGCAAAAATATGGAACCAACCTAAGTGCCCGTCGACTGACGAGTGCATACAGGAACTGTGGTATACATACACCATGGGATACTCCTCAGACATAAAAAGGGATGAAATAATGTCTTTTGCAGCAACTTAGATGGAGCTGGAGGCCATTCTTCTAAGTGAAGTAACTCAGAAATGGAAAACCAAAATATCGTATGTTCTGTCACTTTACTTGATGCCACTAAATTGCATGTTATATTTTACATAAATAAGAAGAAAAAACAAGTCTCAGTGGAGGCATACCAACATTTCATGGGTACATAGATATGGGTATACTCAGAGAAATAACACAAAGCAATATATTGATTTTTTTTTTTTTTTTGAGACAGAGTTTCGCTCTTGTTACCCAGGCTGGAGTGCAATGGCGCGATCTCGGCTCACCACAACCTCCACCTCCTGGGTTCAGGCAATTCTCCTGCCTCAGCCTCCTGAGTAGCTGGGATTACAGGCACGCGCCACCATGCCCAGCCAATTTTTTGTATTTTTAGTAGAGACAGGGTTTCACCATGTTAACCAGGATGGTCTCGATCTCTTGACTTCGTGATCCACCCGCCTCGGCCTCCCAAAGTGCTGGGATTACAGGTGTGAGCCACCGTGCCAGGGTATATTGATGTTTTTAATCAGCTAGCTAGTTTGCAATTTATGTATTAGAACATGCACTTAATTTGTTCTCTTTTATCTGCTGCAACACTTTCTAAAAAGCATTAGATTTGCTCTTCTTCTATGATGTGCTGCAACATGAACCCAGGTAAAGATAGAAGGTTGAGGCCTCATTTAGCATGGGCCTATATTACTTTCCTGGGTGTTAAGATCATAAAAACACCATCAAAATTATAAGTTAAAGTGCACTGACTGAATTTTTAATATAATGAGACACAAAAAAGTTACATTTCTGCTGAAATGAATGTTTTATAATTGTTGTAATCTTTCTGAGAGACAGGGTCATGCTATGTTGCCCAGGCTGAAGTGAGAGAGTGGCTATTCACTGGCACCATATTTCACACTAGAGCCTTGAATTCCTGGGCTCAAGGAATCTTCCTGCCTCAACTTCTGGAGTAGTTGGGACTACAGTTGTGCACCACTGCACCTGGCTTTTGGGATTTTCCCACAGTTGAAAAACAGCCAAATCCTACACAAATTTCTTAGTAAGTCACGTATTACTGAACTGTTTATTTTTTCTCACCAACTCTATCATTGATACACCTTTTACTTTTATATCCCTATGTCCTATTTGTCTGTAGTATTCTATGTGTCTCAATCCAGTTAATGATCTTATATCACTCTTATATGTCCTTCCAAAATTTTGGGGAGAATTTTTAACTGTTTTATAACTCTTATATAGTTTAAGTGACATTTGTTTACTGAACTATTATTTTTTTTTTTTTGAGATGGGGTCTCACTCTGTACCCCAGGCTGGAGTGTAATGGCACAATCTCAGCTCATTGCAACCTCCGCCTCCCAGGTTAAAGCTATCCTCCAACCTCAGCTCTTGAATAGCTGGGATTACAGGTATGTGCCACCACGCCCGGCTAATATTTGTATTTTTAGTAGAAATGGGGTTTCACCATGTTGACCAGGCTGGTCTCAAACTCCTAACTTCAGGTGATTTGCCTACCTCGGCCTCCCAAGGTGCTCGGATTACAGGCGTGAGTCACTGTGCCCAGCCTACTGAATTTTTTATACTGGAACTTATTTGTGCACGAGAGCCCTCTTTTGATAAATGTCTTTGTTATTTCTATCATTTCACTAACATTTACTCCAACTGAGATAGACGATCAACTGATGAACCACCCAACTAGTACTGTGTTCACAATATTGTTAATCGAAGTAAATGTAGGTACTCTTTTACCAAATTAAGGTGGAATCTACAGAGAAAGAAAAAAGCAAACAAAACAAAACTTACCCTCACCCTTTCCATCCATTAGTGACATAAACACAGAAAGATAACCAAATGGACCAAATGAAGGAGCCAGACAATCAGACCAAAATTATATAAACACATTTCTCAGAAACACACCAAAGGCACCCAGGTTGAGAAACCTGGGTATTCACGTGCAGAGGACTGAAGTAAGACCCTTACATTGCACAAGAACACAAACATCAACACAAAACCAACTCAGCACCTAACTTTAATCCTGAAACTCAAAAAGTTCTCAGAAGGCTGGGTGCGGTGGCTCAAGCCTATAATCCCAGCACTTTGGGAGGCCGAGGCGGGTGGATCGCGAGGTTAAGAAATCGAGACCATCCTGGTCAACAAGGTGAAACCCCATCTCTACTAAAAATAAAAAAATTAGCTGGGCTTGGTGTTGCGCACTTGTAGTCCCAGCTACTCGGGAGGCTGAGGCAAGAGACTTGCTTGAATCCAGAAGGCAGAGGTTGCAGTGAGCCGAGATCACGCCATTGCACTCCAGTCTGGGTAACAAGAGCAAAACACCGTCTCAAAAAAAAAAAAAAAAAAAAGCTCTCAGGAAAAAACATAGGGTGAGTGTCTATTTTGGGAAAACTTGAATCTGTGTACACCAGTTGCAGAAAGGAAAAATTAGGAAGAATATACCCATAAATAATACAACATTTCGCCATCTCACTCGCTTTATTTCCCAATGGGAAACAGAAATCCCTGCTAACAAAAGCAAATATAAAATGGTTAGACAAAGGACAACTTTAACATTTATAAACAAGGAGTAAACGGTGAACCCTAAGAAAAGGCACCCTACAGACTGGGATAAAATTATAGAAAATCATGTATCTGAAAAGAACTGTTTTCTAACATATGCAAAAAACTAAAGGCACTAAGTGAGCATAATGATAAAATAACAAAAACCTCTATTTACCCAAACAACCTGCCACTGGCATAAAAACAGAAAGGCTACCCAACGGACAGAAAGACGGAGTCCCACATGCCACCCAAATGAATGTACACTGAACACATTTTTCAACACAACACAAATAGACACAATGGGAAAAGAAGAAATGATTTTGAGCAAACTGGATAACCACATGAAAAACACTGAAATAGGACAAAAATCGATGTAAATTACATAGAAGGCCTAAACTCAATCTTGAAACCATTTCCTTCCCTCAGGAAACAACGGGTAAGCACATAGTTTAGAAGACTAATCTATGCACACAAGTTGCAAAATGTGAAATATAAAAAGAAAAAGAAAATTAGAAGGAAAAAAGACATAGACAATGCCATGGATTGGCAATCTTTTTCACTGTTTTTAACTGCACACGGAAGTCACCACTAACACGTAAACACATGGAACTATGGAAAACATTGGATCTTATGCTGCAAAAAGAAAACAATGAACAGAAGAGAAGGTGCCTCACAGACTGAAAGAAAACCATGGAAAATCCTGTCTTTGAAAGGGGTCGTTATAAAATTTGTGAAAGAAACTAACACTACCATGTGGGGGGAAACAAAAACAAACACCCAAGCTAAGTCTGGGCAAAGGACCTGAACAGACGTGTCTACGACGCAGATGTGAAACTGACTCACAGGTAAAAGAAAAGTCTCTCAAAAGCGCTAATCCTCACAAGAATGTCAAGGAAACCTGCACTGAGATACTGCTTCCATCCACATAGAATGAATGCTACCTAAAACAGAAATAAAAGTTTTAAAAGAAAACAACTAGTACAGACTTTCAGAAGGGGAAACTCTTCTCATACACTATTGGTGGGAATGTCAATGTCTACACACACTACGAAAAACAGCTGGAAGTGCCTCAAACAAAGTAAAAAGGCCATTTCATCCAGCCATCATTCCATTCCTACGTGGAAGAGATACCTGCCTTACCCTCTGTACTGCAGTACTCACGATAGCCAAGATAGGAAATACACCTACCTGTTCTTCCATTGATGAAGAGATGAGGAAACTGCAATATATACCCAGAGCAGAATATTCTTCAATCGTAGAAATGGTGAAATCTCATCACTTGCGGCCATGTGGAAAAACCTGAGGAACATTAATGTAAATGAAATAAGCCAGGCAGAGAAAGGCATATACTGCATGATCTCATGCACGTGGAATCTGAAACAACTTGACCTCACAGAAGCAGAAAGTTCAATAGTGGTTACCAGAGGCTGTGGGGAAGGGGCGCCTAGGCAGGGATTGGTCATGGGTACAAAGTTACACTTAGAAAACAGATCAGTCCTGCCCTTCTCTTCTATAGCAGAGAGACCAGGGTAAATATTGTAGTGAATTTTCCAAACAGCTGGAAAGGATTATGAGTATCATCTCCACAGACAAATAATACCTAGAGGACTTCACAGATGCTAAATATTGTGATTCGATCAATATGCTAGGTGTACCCATATCAAAATGGCCCCTGTATCTTCTAGTTATATACATATACTCTAGGGTAATCTCTTTTAAAAAAAAAATACCAATGATGCTAAAATTTACATGGAACCATGAAACACCCTGAATTTCAAAGCAACCGTGAAAACACAAAGTACATGGAATGCATCACTGTCCTCCATTTGAAATTATATTGAAAAGCCAGTTATCTAAACAATAGATGACTGGCACTAACCGAGAAATCCAGACCAACAGACAGAATGAGGGAGCTCGATCACAAACCCAAATTCCTAGGTGGTGTATCCGTTTTGTAAAAGAACACCGACAGACACAATGAAGAGGGGGGAATCTGTTTAGTAAATGGATTTGAAAACTGGATATCCCTACGTAAGTAGAATAGGACCCCAATTGTGTAAAAAGACCAAGGATTAACTCAAAATGAATTAGAGACTGATCAACAAAAGTCGAAAGCATCAAACTCTTCCAATGAGAAGACACATGGTGTGGGTATATTTAGGTCAATGTGGATCTGTGCTCACAGTGTGCCAAAACAAAATAAAAAATACAGGGGGAAAAACTCATAGGTGATGGGGTAGTTTGGTTATGATTCTGTTTTTCCTCATCAGTCACCTACTTCAAAGGACAACAAGAAAACAGACACACGTGGGACTATATCATACGTTAGAGTTTGTGCCCAAGCAGATTTCTAAAAAAATCCGCTGGGCGCAGTGGCTCAAGCCTGTAATCCCAGCACTTTGGAAGGCCTAGGCGGGTGGATCACAAGGTCAAGAGATCGAGACCATCCTGGTCAACATGGTGAAACCCCGTCTCTACTAAAAATACAAAAAATTAGCTGGGCATGGTGGCGCGTGCCTGTAATCCCAGCTACTCGGGAGGCTGAGGCAGGAGAATTGCCTGAACCCAGGAGGCGGAGGTTGCGGTGAGCCAAGATAGCGCCATTGCACTCCAGCCTGGGTAACAAGAGCGAAACTCCGTCTCAAAAAAAAAAAAATTATCCTGAAGTTTACAAGAAAGGTTTCGGCAAACCTACATATGATGAAAGGTTGTCTTCAAAATGTCTAAGCAACAAACGCTACTTACTAGCAAAAACACAAAAGAGAAACTAATAACTAAACAAAATGGGACCAAATAACCTAAACAGACATTTCTGCAAAGAAGGCGTAACGTTGAAAACAAGTTTTAAAAACTTAGATAATATCACAAATCACGAGAAAGATGTAAATTCAAAACCACACACATGATCTCACTATAATTCATATGGGTGTTATCAAAGCAATCAAATACATTAAAAGAGACACAAATGCTGCTGTCAATTTCCACAGAGGAACTCATTTGGTAAGAATGTTAATTAGTATACATACTACAGACACCATTGGGAGCTTCCTCCAAAAGTTTAACCTACAACTACCACTTCGTCTAACAAGTCTACTACTAAGTATACTTTCAGGACAAAAGAAATCAGTCCATGCAAGAGGCATCTGCCATCCTATGTGGACTGCAGCACTATTCACAATTGCCAAGACAAAGAATACCTGCCCATCCAAACATGAAGGGATACCTGGTGTATGTGCACAAATAGAATCGTCTTCAGCTAGAAAACTGGAATGAAATGTCATCATTTGGAGCCACGCTGTTGAACTTGGAGGACATCATATATGACCTAAGACAGGCAGAAAAAGAACAACTAATGTAGAATCCAAAATAAAAGGCTTTATTGCATAGGTCTAGAAAGCACAATAGTAGTTACTAAAGGTTGGAGGGAAGAAGGGGCACGGGCAGAGGTCAGAAATAGGCACAAAGTTACACTTAGATGAGAGGAATGAATCGTTCCTCGCTGATCCACAGCCAAGTGACCAGAGGTTAACACAACATCACACCCTTTTCACAAAATCTGGGAGATTCCAAATGTTTTCACCACAAAGAAATTCACAACTGTTTTTGATAAGAGAGGCTCTAAAGATCCTGATTTTATCATTCCTCGGTGTCTGCATTAATCAAAATGCCCCACTCTAACTCCCCCCATTGTATACCTTCACTATATGACCAACCTTTTAAAAACTATGTCAATACGCAATGCTAAAATTCATGTGGCCCATAAAAGACACTGAATTTCCACAGCAATCCTGAGAAATCCAAACTACCTCGGTTGTGTCACACTTCCTGATGTTAAATTTCATTGAAAGCTAGGGACCCCATTCCACACAGAGCAGTGGAACAGATTAGAGGACCCAGACTTAAACCCTCACCCCTAACACCATCTGATGTTCAACAAAATCCACAAAAATCAGCTTTGGAGAAAGGACTCCCTCCTTTCAATAGACGGCGCTGGCATAAATGACTAGCCAGCTGCAGAAGAAAAACAGTGGGCCCCGTGTCTCACGGTGTACAGACATAAACTCAAGATGAATGAAAGATGTAAATGCAAGACCTCAAACTATGAAAAGCCTGCAAGAGAACCTAGAAACACCCTTCCTGACAGAGGATTTGGCATAGCATGGATGTGTCTCAGTCTCCAAAAGCAAGTGCAACTAAAACAATTATTGCCCAGTGGCACCTAATACAAAAAGAGCTGCTGCACAGAAGAAATGACCAACAGAGTGAACAGACAGCCTGCACAACGGGAGAAAATGTTCCCACGCATGCATCTGATGAAGGCTAATATCCCGGATCTACTTAAAGACGTTAAGCAAATAAACCAGGAAAACAAAAACTCAATGAAGAAAGGGCAAGGGGCATGAAAACATGCGCCTCGAAAGAAGGCTTACAGCAACCAACAGACATGACAACACTTCTCTGCCTCAGTCAGCATCAGAAAAAGGCAAAGCAAAAGGCCCATGAGATAGTATTTCACACTGGCCAGAATGACGATTAGGATACAGTTCAGAAGAACGAACGCAGACGAGGCAAAGGACAGGGACGCTGCTCTGCTGCTGGTGGAAATGCAAACCAGTTCAGACACCATGGAAAGCAATGTGGGGATTTCTCAAATGACTTTCTCCACATCATTAATACTCACAAAAATGTGCATGAAAACCATGCTAAGATTCCATCTCCTTCCACTCACTATGAATACTATCAAAAACAAAACACAAATTTTGGAAGGCGCCAGCCAGTGTAGACTTACAGAAAGGTAACCTCTTCAACACTATTGGTGGAGACGTAAACTAGAATACACACACTGAGAAACAGCAAGAAGTTCCTGAAAAACTTCACAGTACAACTACCATGTCAGCTGGCAGCCCCATCACTGATTCCACATTTAAAGTAGTTGAAATCCCTGGGCTGAAGAGAGCTATCTGCCTTCCATCGGTACTGAAGCACTTGTAACTGTGGCCAAAGTACAGAACCAACCTACCTGTGCACCCACAGCTGCAGGGATGAAGAAACTGCTGTACAGATACACCATGGAGTATGTTCCAGCCATAAAGCTCTGGGAAATCCTGCCATCTGCAGCCACATGAAGAAACCTGGAGAACATCAGGTCCAACGGATGAGCCTGGTAGAGAAAGTCCCATTCCACACGATCTCAGGCATGCAGACTGAAAACATCTTCATCTCCTAGAAGCAGAAAGTTCAATAGGGGTTACTAGAGGTCACTAGGAAGATGGAGAGGGTCTGGGAATGAATCAGTAATGGGTAAAAACTTCCCCTCAGATGAGAGCAATCAATTCTGGTCTTCTATTCCACAGCAGGGTGACTGGCCTTAACACAAACGTAGCATATGTCTCAAAGTAGCTAGAGGAAAATATTCTGAATGTTGTTACCACAAAAAAAAAAAAAATCATAACTATACGAGGTGAAGAGATGCTAAATAACCCAATTTGATCATTACTCAGAATACACATGTATCAAAATCTTCCCTGTACCCTCTAATTATATACATTTATATATGGCAAATGGTGTTTTAACATATATATAAAGAAAACAATGCCGAAATTTATATGGAAATGTGAAACACCCTGAATTTCCAGTTATCCTGAGAAACACAAACCATGTGGCATGTATCACATTCCCTGAGTTCTAATTAAATGAAAATCCCTAGTTAACCAACCCATATGCTACTGGTAAACACAGAGAAACACAGGCCAGTGAGCAAAACGAGGGCGTTTAATAATAAACAGAAATTTATATAGAGTGAATACATTTTTCAAAACACTACCAAACTGACACAATGGGGAAAGTTTTCAAAACTAGGTATCCATATGCAAAAGAATACTACAGGACTCTTACGGTATGAAATACACAATAATCAACTGAAAAGGATTAACGATTATACACAAAACTCGCAACCATAAAGCTCCTATAAAGACAACCTCGGTGTGAGTATATTTATTGCAACTTGGATGTATGCTCACGATTTGCAAAAACAAAAATACAAGGAAAAGAAAACCGTGTACAATGAACTGCTTTGGTAGTGATTGAGTTTTTTCTTCATTAGCAACGAACAGCACAGCTAACCAAGAACTCATACACATGTGGGGCCACGTCAAACTGAAGAGTTTGTGTCTAACAAACAATGAACAAAATGAAAAAGCATTCTAAAAATTGTAAGAAACGTTTGGGCAAACATTCAGTTGGATAAGGGGTTATTTTTGAAAAGGTACAGCCAAGTAGCACTACTGGCTGGGCAAAAAAAAAAAAGCAGAAAAATAACCAAACCAAACAATCTGAAGAGATATTTGTGCAGACAAGAAACTGATGCAAAATTTGCAAAAATGTGGTTACCATTACTATGCATGAGAAAAATGAAGACCAATACCACACTCAGATCTTATCTAACTCCCAACTAGAATGAACATTACAAACAGATTAAAATACTTAAAAAGACAACTTCTAGTATGAATTTCCACAAAGGGGAACTGTTTGTGGAAACGTAAATTAGTATTAACGCTACAAAAAACAGTTGGGGGTCCTGCAAAGAATAGAAAGGAAAAATAGCATACCACCTAGCATTCCCACTACTGGGTATACATTCAATCTACCTGTCCAGCCACAAAGGGATCAAGAAACTCTCGTATGCATACACTAGGAAATATTCTTCGGCCACCAAAATGATGAAACAGTGTCATGTGGAGCAACCCAGATGAACCTGGAAAACATTATGTTAAACATAATGAGCTGGGCCAAGAAAGACAAACACTGAATCTTAAGATGTCTGTCTTAAAGAGGTAGAAAGCACAGTATTGGCTACCAGGCCTGTCTGGGAGATAGAGAAGGAAGTAGGGATTGGTTATGAAAGCAAAGTTATCTTAACCTTAAAGGAATCAATCTGAGTGTTCTCCTCCTCAGCCTGGTGACTGGAGTTAACAATATTATATTTTTCAAAAGAACAAGGAAGGAGAATTTTATGTGTTCTCTCCACAGAAAAATAATACCTTATGAGGGAACAGAGATCCTAAGTACCCTGATTTGATCATTACCCATTCTATACGTGTGAAAATGTACCCCCCATTATGCACCTTTATGTTGTGAAAAAAAAGTTAACAGAAAGAAATACATATTGCTAAAAATCACAGGAACCATAAAAGCAATTCATATCTAAAGGAATCCTGAGAAATTCAATCAAAGTGAGGACCCACAATCCTCGATATTAAATCACACTGCCAAGCTGCAGTTATGCAGCAGATATATGGTACTTGGATAAAAACAATACCTAGAATTAGCCGGGCGCGGTGGCTCAAGCCTGTAATCTCAGCACTTTGTGAGGCTGAGGAGGGTGGATCACGAGGTCAAAGATCGATACCATCCTGGTCAGCATGGTGAAACACCGTCTCTACTAAAAATACTAAAAATTAGCTGGGCATGGTGGTGCGTGCCTGTAATCCCAGCTACTCAGGAGGCTGAGGCAGGAGAATTGCCTGAATCCAGGAGGCGGAGGTTTCGGTGAACCGAGATGGCGCCTTTGCACTCCAGCCTGTGTAACAAGAGTGAAACTCCGTCTCTCAAAAAAAAAAAAAAAAACACCTAGAATTGTGGATAAAAATGGGGAGGCCAAAACAAGATCAACGCAAATATGGACATAGTCAACTCACTTTGATAAAGACCACCGCAGTGTGGAAGGCAGAGTCTGCTCAATGAATACCTTTGAGAAAAATGTTATCTGAATGCGGAAGAGAGAAACAGGACCCTGATTTTACATGATATATGAAAATCAAACCCCCTTGCAAAAAACAAACAAATCAAAAAAACCCCGAAGACCAGAACAAAAGACCATAAACCACAAAATGTTTTTAACTACAACACAGGTTGAGCATATATTCTGGGTCACTTGACTCTCTGCTCAACTTTGCAAAAAGAAAAAGAAACAAACACCCTGGAAGAAAAACCTCATTGACAATTAAATGCTTTGTCACTGATAAGTATTTTCTTATATGGGTGACCAAAATTACATGCATAAATCGCAAAAATAAACATGGACTACATCAACTTGAAAAGTTTCTGCACGGCAAAGAAACTACTTTCCAAATTAAAAAAGCATCCTATAGATTAGGCAAAAATCTCAGGTAAATTTTCATGTAATTCATGAGTTGTCATCTAAGGTGTACACAAAAAACACTACAAAGTAGCAAAAGAATCTAATATTTCGAAAAGGACCTGAACAGACAATTCTGCGACAGAAAATCAAACAGATAAAAGGTCCTCAAAATTAACTATCCAACAAAGTCAATTAACTGTGTGTGGTTTAATTGAAACCCACACACAGATAATCTCACACTTATTGAATATTCCTAGAAAGTTTTTTAAAAATAGGAGAGGCCAGGCTCGGTGGCTTACGCCAGTAATCCCAGAACTTTTGGGAGTCCGAGGCAGCAGATCACCTGAGGTCAAGAGTTTGAGACCAGCCTGATAAATATGGAGAAACCCCGTCTTTACTACTGATACAAAAATTAGCCTGGCGTGGTGGCGGGCCCCTGCAGTCCCAGCTACTCAGGAGGCTGAGACAGGAAAATTGCTTGAACCCCGCAGCGCAAGTTGCACTGAGGTCAGATGGCACCACTGCAGTCCAGCCGGGGCAGAACGAGATTGCCTCCAAAGGAAAAAAAAAAAAAAGGAATACAGGTATAGTTTTGGAAAAAAGGGAACTCATACACTGTAAATGAAATAGACACCACGGAAAACAGCTAAATACCTGGAGACTCCTCAAATAATTCACACTACAAATGTTACCTGTTCTATTCTGTTCTAGCGAGGTCTCTTTCTAAAAGGTCCTGAAACATCAAAATAACCCTGGACCTCAGCTCAGAGGGCCAGGGGCTCGGAGGGTCCCAGGTCCCGCGCTTCACCGCGGCCTCTGGGCCAGGTGCTCCTATACCTGGAAGCGGGTCACACACCGTTCCTGGCCAGGGTGCGCACGCTGGGACGGCCAGGACCCCACAACCACCGCCACGCAAACTACTGGGGCCCAGATGCCCACAAGGAGTCAGAGCCCAAAAGCGAGTCGTGGGGAAGGAGCAGGGAGGCCCGGAGGGTTCCCGGGGGAGGCGGGGGTCCATGCCCCGCCACTTACCGCGGAAGTCTCCCTCCTGCTCCCCCATCGCATGGAAGCCACCACGGCTTCTCCGAAGCTTGTCGCTTCTGCTCGCTGGGAAGTCGACTTCGCTTCTGCCCACCAGGACTACGTCCCAGACTCTGGCCGCCGCTTTCGCTCGCTCCGACCACATCGCCACCGCTTCCGTTCGCTTCAACGACGCCGCGGCTTCTGCCGGGGCCCCGCGGAAAGCGCCGTCTCGGCTTCCGTAGAGGCGCGCACGCCAGCAGCGACCCCAGCGACTGGCTGAAGCACCACCCCCCCCTTAAAGGGGCCGCGGCTCGGACTGCACAGAAGTAGCTTCGCGTTGCGGCACAGGCTGAGCCTTTGCCCAGCCCCAGCGGTGGACGAAAGGCCCCCCCGCTCAGTCTCTCCTCCCGGCTCTAGGGCCCTAGAGATCACAGGAGTGGAGCCCTGTGACCCCAGCCCCGAGATCGCCTCCCTTTGCCTGGGGAGCTTCCAGGTCCTGCCCCTGCCCTCCTCTGGACCTCAGCTTCAGGATCCACAAAGAAAGCGGCCTGGCGGGAGCTGTGGGGTCCCTCAAGCGCGGCGCCTCAGGATGCAGGGCGGGCTCCCTGGTCCCTCTGCGAGGGAAAGCTGGGGGCTGGAGGGACAGTCCAGCAGGGAGGCGTCCCCGGCTTCCCTGTCCGCATCCGTCCTGTGGGAGCCCGGCGGCCTCACCGGGGCTGCCTGGGTCACCCGGCTCCCCAGGAGGGAGGCAGGGGCCCTAGGGTCCAGCGCCGCTGCACCTCAACTCCATCCTAGGTCAGCTCCCGGAGGGGCCCTGCGGACTGCACCCAGCCCTCCCCTTCCCAAGGAGAGGGACTCTCCTTGCATCTGTCTCTGTGACACCCACGGGAGGGCCGTGCTGGCCTCTCCCGGGGATCTGGGGCGAGGCGGGGGAATCCCAGCCACCTGGCCATCATGCTGAAACCTCGTCTCTACTAAAAATACAAAAATTAACCGGGCGTGGTGATGCCTGCCTGTAATCCCAGCTACTGGAGGGGCTGAGGCAGCAGAACCACTTGAACCCGAGGAGGAGGTTGCAGATCTGGGGTCACTGCAGTCTCCGCCTCCCAGGCTCAAGCAATTCTCCTGCCACAGCTTCCCGAGTAACTGGGATTACAGGCACCCGCCACCGTGCGTGGCTAATGTTTGTATTTTTAGTAAAGACAGGGTTTCACTGTGTTGCCCAGGCTGGTCTCAAACTCCTGACCTTGTGATCTGCCATCTTGGCCTCCCAAAGTGCTGAGATTACAGGTGTGAGCCACCTTGTCCGGCCGGGTCAGGAGTTCAAGACCAGCCTGACCAACATGCCGAAACCACGTCTCTACTAAAAATACAAAAATTAGCCAGGCATGATGGCACATGCCTGTAATCCCAGCTACTTGGGAGGCTGAGGCATGAGAATCACTTGAACTCAGGAGGCAGAGGTTGGAGTGCCTAGAAATGAATACCAGACAGAAAAAAACGTTCTTCCTGTGTCTCTGTTCTTTCATGCTGAGATTCTAGCTTTTGGCTTTTCATCTTGAGAATATGAGTCCAGAGTCTTTATGTATAATTCCAATATAGGTTCTGCTTTTTTTTTGGTCCATATTTATTTGCCCATGCTCATGTATTAATGGCAAAAATGAATAAGTTGGAAGCAAGAAAACAAGTTTCCCTTTTTTAACCTTTTTTTTTTTTTTTTTGAGATAGAGTCTTACTCTGTTGCCCAGGCTGCACAGTGGCACAATCTTGGCTCATTGCAACCTTTGCCTCCTAGGTTGAAGCCATTCTTGTGCCTCAGCGTCCCAACTATCTGGGATTACAGATGCACACCACCATGCCAGGCTGATTTTTGTGTTTTTCGTAGAGATGGGATTTCGACTGTTGGCCAGGCCATTCGCGAACTCCTGATCTCAAGCTATCCACCACCTTGGCCTCCCAAAGTGCTGGCCTGGGCGACAGAGCGAGACTTCATCTCAAAACAAAAGCAAAAACAAAATAATAGTCAAAATGGTAAAGACAGAAAGTAGAATGGTGGTTGCCAGGGGCTGGCAGAGGAGGGAACAGGGAGTTTGTATTTAACGGGTAGAGAGGCACCAAAGCACGCTGAGAGTGCCCCAGCCCGGGAGCTAAGCAGGGTCAGGCTTGGCTAGGGCTTGCATGGGGGAACACCTGGAGGGACAGGGGCTGGAGATTTGTGGCTTCTTGCCTCCTTACTGCTTTCCTCCAATTGTCACAACTCTTTCTATCTGCCCCCAACTCTTTGGCCAGCCCTTTTGCGCCTGCCTGCACCCCTGCTCTGGCCTGGGACCTCTCCTCTTTGAAGGCACCAAATTCCATTGAAGCTAAGAGGGGTCGAGCCTGGCTTGGTCTAGGGTTGGGGACTGCCCAAGGAGATGGGGGCTGGTTGCTTTTGGCTTCTTACTCTTTTCCCATTTTTCCTGCTTGTCACAAAGCGTTCCAACAGCCCAGTGATTCTCTGGCTTTTCCTTATTGACTTCCACACACTCCTGTGCCCACTCTGTGTTGTGAAGTGTCCCTGAGGAGGACCATGATAGCAGCCCTTGGGCTTCATAGCAGCCTGAGGGTGCCCCAACATAGAAGCTAAGCAGGGTAGAGCTTTGGTGGGGTTGGACCGGGGACTACTTGGGGAGACTGTGGTCTAGAGGCTTTTGGCTTCCCACTCCTGTTTTTTTTTTCTTTGCTTGTCACAACACTTCCCAACCACTCGCTAACTCTCCGGCATTTCTTTTCCAGCTAACCTGCCCCCAACCCGCAGCCAGGCACCTGCCTATGGGGCTTTATCTATGCAGCCCCTGTAAACCATAGCAGTCTGAAGGTCAGGGTGTGGTTGAGAAATGTTGCTACAAGGGGGAAAAGGTCGAAAAGAGCAGGAAGCCAAAAAGCTGGAAGCCTGGTCATTCCACGTGGCACCCCATCCAAGCATCAGTTAGGCCCAACCCTGCTTAGCTTCTGGGCTGGGGGTCCTCAGGGAGGCTGCTGGAACAAACCCCCACGGAGAAGTTGCAGTTCAAGGTGGGGGCACTGGCGGGAGGAAATGGGAGATTAGGGAGTCAGAGGGCAGTTGGAAATCGTTGCCAAAAGTGAAGGAAAGCAGGAAGTTAGCAGGAGTCCAAAAGTCTCCAGCCACCGGACTCCCAAAGTCGTCCCTCATGCCCTACTCTGCTCAGCTTGCATGCTGGGACACCCTCAGGCTGCTATGCCAACTGGAGTCAGCCGGGATGGACCCCCACGGGGAGGTCTGAGTATGCGTTGGGCATGATATGGTGTCCATAGAGTCCAGGGTGGTTAAGAAGTGTTTCAATGAGAGGAGGAAACTGGGAAAAGAATGGGAAGCCAAAAGCCTCCAGCCCTATCTCCCCAGGTGGTTCCCCATCCAAGCTTCAGTTAAGCCAAACCCTGCTTAGCTTCCAGGATGAGCCACCCTCAGCCTGCAGGGGCCCACGGAGCCTGCCAGTGTAAACCACTACAAAGAGGTACCAGGCTGCAGTGAAAACACCAGCAGGTGGGGGCCAGGAAGCTAAGCAAGGACCAGCCTGGCAGGGACTTGGATGGGGGACTGCCTGGAAACACTGGGGGCTGGAGGCTTTTGCCTTTTCATCTTCGTCAAGCTTTCCCTCTTGCCTACACCCACACCAAGACCTTGGACCTCCCATGGGGGTCTGTTTCAGCAGCCCCTAGGTGCCATAGTAGCCCTAGGGCACCACAGCCCAGAAGCTAAGCAGGGTCAGGCCTGGCAGGGCTTGGATGGGGGACTGCTTTAAAGGCCAGGTGCTGGAGGCATTTTCTCTTAGACATCAACAAGCTTTCTCCCACTAGTCCCAAGGCTTCCCAACCACACCCGAATCTGCATCTTTTTTCTCACTTGCCTAGGCCCACGCCTTGTCCCAGGACTTCCCCATTTGGGTTTGTATCGGCAGTCCCAAGGCACCCTAGCAGCCCTAGGGTGCCACATCCCAGAAGCTACGCAGGGTCTTGCTTGGCTGGCGCTTGGATAGGGGACCACCCGGGGAGACCAGCAGCTGGAGACTTGTGCCTTCCCGTTTCTACCACATTGCCCCACTTGTCCCAACCACCCTCTGACTCACTGGCTCCACCTTTTCCACCAGCTTGTACCCCTCGGCAGCCCAGGACCTTCTTCTGAAGGTCCTCCCAGCAGCCCTCAGGTGCCATAGCACCCTGAGTGTGCCCCAGTGTGAAAGCTAAGCACAGTTGAGCCTGGCTGTGGCTTGGATGGGGGGCCACTTGGGGAGACCAGGGGCTGGAGGCTCTTTTCATCCCACACCCTTTTCTCTTTTCCCCACTTGTCCAGATGCTTCTCAACGGGGGGCTGGAGGCTTCCCCCTCCCCGCTTTTCACTTTTCCCTACTTGTCCCAATGCTTCTCAACTGCCCCCCGACTCTGGCCCCATATTCCATCAGCCTGCAAGCCTGTTGTGGCCTGGGACCTTCCTGTAAGATTTCCTCCCTGTAAGATCCCTGGTGCCATAGCTTTGTGAGGGCACACCAACCCGGGACCTAAGCAGGGTCGTCCCTGGCTGGGGCTTGAATGGAGGATAGCCAGAAGGTATAGGGGGCTAGAGGTTTTTGGCTTCTGGCTCCTTTCCCTCCTTCCCTCAAATGTGGCCACCATTCCCAAATACCCCCTGACTCTGGCCAGCCCTTTTCAGCCTGCCTGCACCCAAGCCATGGCCCAGGACCTCCCTGAATGGGCCTGCCTCTGAAGTAACTGAGAGCCACTGCAGCCTGTGGGTGCCTCAGCCCAAAAAGCTAATGCAGGATACATCCCAGCTTGGGCTTGGATGGGGGACTGCATAGGGAGACAGGGGCTAGAGGCTTTTTGCTTCCAGTTTTTTTCCCAATTTCCCTTGCTTGTCGCAAAGATTTCCAACCTTCTCCTGACACTCAGGCTATCACTTTCCTACTCCCGCATGCTTGTGCCCCCTCCACATCCTGGGGCATCCCTGAGGGGGTCTGTCCTAGCAGCTGTTGGGTGTCATGGTAGCCCAAGGATGCCTCAGCCTAGAAGGTAAGCAGAGTCGGGCCTCGATGGTGCTTGGATGGGGGACTGCTGGGGAGAGTGGAAGCTGAGGCTTTTGGCTTCCCTTGCCCTCCCATTTTTTTGCTTGTTGCAATGCTTCCCAAAAAGCTGCTAACTCTCTGGCCCTCACATTTCATCCCACCTGTTCCCCACTGTGGCCAGGGACCTCCCTGTGGGTGTCTGTCATGGCAGCTCCTCAGGTGCAGTAGCAGCCTGAGGTCACC